AGTGTTTGAAGGCGTGTTAATCTATTAATAATATAGATCTGAAGGATTGGTTGGCATTTTTGTAATGGTTTTGAAACTCTTACTTTTTGCAATCAGAGTCATAATTTAGGAAACTGAAGAAGATATTTTCTAAGCACCCACTCCAGTCAAACTTTACAATTATTACGACCAAATATTTAATAGACCAGCTCTCTTTCTTAGATAAGCAACACAAGATAATGCCAATATAGTCTAATCAGTTTGGAAGTAGAGTTAATCATCTAAATTTAAAATTCGAATAAAATACCTCTAATAATTTACAAAGCTATTTCAACATACTTGCTTTCCACTTCCTTAACATAATATAAAATCTAATTTTCTTATAAGTCCCTAAGTTTGATATGCTATTGATTAATGGAATCCTTATTTTCTTTTTACTGTTATTGCACTAAACTATCATCATCATCGATCACTCCAAATGATAGTAAAGCTTCAATTCTATCTAATAAGGTGTTTCTTTGAAGTTTCCATTCCATTTTTTGTATTAGTTAACGTTCTGCTGACTTGAAATCCTAAATGCTAAAGTGACTGATTTCAGGATGATTAGTTAAGGAGGCATATCTTTTTAGCTTGCTTATGAATGGTACTCTCTCATCAAGTTCTTGTGCTTTAGCAGCCAACATAAGAGCAGTAGAAACAAATAGATAAGTCTGATTTTCAGCCACAGCAACCTTATTGAAATACTCATCAATATAATTGATTGCCAAAAAGGAGGTATTGATTGAAAGATTAAGTCTTTCTGACACTTACAAAATGAATTCTATGAACTATTATCTTTATTTGGTAGGCCCACTTGGTTAACCATCAACCATCATCCTTTGTAGCACTTTAATTGGATTGAAAAATGCACTGTATTTCATCCTGAGTGTTTTATAAACCTTGGTATTTGGCTAGGATGTAGTGATGAATTTTACATTATTTAAGAAAATGCCACAATCTGTGCAAATCATTTTCTCTGAATAGATGTGTCTATTCTTATGAGAACATCCAAATACTTCGAAGTATTAATTACTATAATGATGTTCAAATGGCTCTAATTAACTCATATATACGTTAAATTTTATTTATAATTTATTAATAAAATTTCGAATAAATTCTGAAAATAAATTTTAGTAATTACAATGAACATTTCCATCTCAAATGCAAATGAGCAGTATAAAATAAATTATCAATAGATTAAAATAAATGTGTATCTTGATTTTCAAACAAATTGTCTCATCATTGTAGTCCTTCTTTATTTGATCTTATCTTTAGTTTGTTTTTTATATTTCTTTATCACTTTTTCTGGATTTTCTTCCTAAAAGTAAGCATCATAATTCGCCATATGATCAATACTAAATTAGCTATCAACATCAGAGTGACTCTCCATTTACTAAATATTATTATCAACCTTCTCAGTCTTCAACACAGAGCCAGGTTCCTTGGTAACACTGCCTTGTAAATTCTAACTATTTTAAATATAATTTCTATCATAATATGAATATATGAAATACTTTAGTTCGTCTATGATAGATTAAATCTCTTTATTTTTAGGCTAAGCTATCTAAAGAAATTTCATCTTTCTTAGAAGTTCTGATTTTTTAGATTCATTATAAATGTGTCGATCAGGAGATTGTACCTTCTCATACTTTTCATTTTATTGGGGAATCTACTAAGATTTGTTACAATTTGGAATTTCATTTTATTACAACAATTTACTCTTCTTCCTTTGAGCTAAGTAATTGTTAGGCAATAGAGCACTCATGCCTTTGTCTTTTTTCACAGGAACAGCCTTCTTGACTTATTCTTAGATCGGTGTAAGACTAGACATAGATGATGTTCTAACATTTCTAAGTTTTTCTAATTTTACGAAACTTTAGAATTTCTTTTTTTTAGTGAGATTTGATTTCTTTTTGATTTCCTCATCTGAATGCTTAATCAATTACTAAGACTTTCTTTATCCATCTGATAACTCTATACTATGATTGTCCTTACTTTCATCAATCTTCATCTCATAATCATCATCAGCTACCCATTGCCCTCTCTTTCTTAATTATGCCTTTTCTTTCTCTTACTCGACTATCTTCTTAATATCCTCCATCTCCTCCTCATAATCATCCACATCTGAACTATACTCTATGTCTTCATCACTTGAATTTTGAGTGAATGTGATATTTTAGAAGTACTTCTTAATGGCTACTGCATTAACCTACACTTCTCGTATGTGAGACAGAGCTTTGAATTATTGTTTAACTACTCTTCTTTAATAGAGATGATCTCTTTAATTTTATAGATTATAAGTCTCTAGAATAATAGGCATTTTTTCAGGTATATAGAGTGTCTTTTTGCAATTAATTACTAGATGTTTCTTACTTTCACAGATGTAGCATTTTAATTTTAATTAAACATTGTTGTTATTGAAGAGAACTTGATGTCTGATTTCAAAAAATTTCTATTTTTCAATAGAATACTTCTCTAGTCTTTTTAAAAATTGAGTTCTAGACAATTTGTAGATAACTGAATATGTTAAACAACGAGCTGAAGCAGTTCTCTTATAACCAGTAATAAAAGCTACTATTCCGAAAATGCCGGATTTCATTATATGTAATTTGATTGGTTTATCGCTATCTAAGTATATTTCCACTGAACCCTTTGTTAGAAAGAAGACTGGAAAGTCATCTATTTCTTCTCTTTCTTGGAATATCACTTCCTCTTGTGAGTAGTATTGTTATTAGATGTCTTAAGCCAACTCAATTAAGAGGTCTTATTAGAAGTAACTGAAAAATTGGTTGTGATTGAGCATCTTGCCTAGGGTTTAGTAAATTAATTCTTCCTTGAGAGCAGGAGCTAATTTTAGAATCATGGCTTATTCCAGTTCGTGATCCCTAGCTTTTTCAGATTCCCATAGATGATAAAGGTAGGCTTCTATTCGAGCTTTTAATTTTCTATCCACATTGTGTTCTCGCATAAATCTTTCTATAGCATTAACATACTTTCTAGAATAAATAATGGTTTAAGAAATACTGAAATTTCTGTTTATTTTCATTCTATTAATTAATCATCTCCCAAATTGCATTAACAGAATAAGCAAAAACGATACAAGAGATGAATTAAGTCACCACAGTAACAAGAACTTCATAAGCATTTTTAGGTGTTACATCTCCATAACCCACTGAAATCATCGTAGTGACTGCCCAATAAAATGAGTATAAATGCAGTTCAAATATATGTTTTTTCAAATAAGTATATCCACCATGCATTGTGATCAAATCACTTTCACTTAGCCAAGATACACTTTCATCTCCTTTACATAGCTCCCTTCTTCCCACAAAAAAGAATACACATGCAAATAAATGACACAACCATGTGATTGTCAACATAACAATCAATAATCTATATTTTGCCAATTTTTAAGGTTCCAATTACAAATATTCTTATATCATCTTACTTGTTTTAAAGACTTCGTAAATTTTAAGAATGAATAAGAATATTGTAATTCCAAATTACGTGTCCTTGTGAAGAAATATTCGATACTCAATTAAACAACATAAGGGGATTAGATCTAGGAAGAAATAAGTTTTTATATAGTTTACAGCAATTAGTTTTCTTCCACTTACCAAATATCCTTATTTGTAAAAAGCAATATTGAAAGTGAGAGCAATGTCAATAATAAATATACAGATTGCTATATTTAGAGCAAAAGTTTCGAAGTCCTAATAGTCATTTGATTTATTTTCCTGTATAAGGGGTTAATAAGCAAATATGAAAGGTATTTAAAAGAAGAAGAGAACGACCAAAATACTATTTAGAACCTACCAAAGTATGTAAAATTAAGAGTCTGGTTCAAGAACTTTGACTTTATGAATGTACTTTTAGACATCCTTTAGGAATCCATCCTTTTCAGTCTCATATACATAATCATTAAATAACTCTTTTTGTCTAAGATCAATAATCTCTGCCATTGTAACCTTGTTGGAAGATTTCTTACTTCCAAAGCATCTTTAAAATATGTTTGGTTGTTATCTCTTCATGTCTATTGTATTTCTGTAGATGATGGTTTGATTGGCTATGGTAGGTATGACTTTGGCTCTTGAGTATTGATCATCATCAATCATGGATTGATACAAGAAGTCGTCGTCGTTGACAATCTGTTCCATAAGGATTTCGCTATAGGTTCGATTTGCGATTTCTATTTGATTTGAGACTTGGAGAGTCTGTGGAAAGTTTGGACCAGAATCCTAGTCACTCATTAATAAATTTATAAAAATATAAGGAATGGGTCCAACTTAAGGCAAAGAGGTATAGAATTGTATATGATTCAGTTATCTCCATAAATGAGGGAGAGAGTGTTAAAGTTATTCGCAAGATTCGATGTGGATGGGTCAAAGTCGATTGAGAAGTCGGAAACAATAAAATATTGGTATTTATATAAATGTCAATGGTAATGAAGGAAGAGTAATTTTGCAAAATTGAATACAGAGGAATTATTTAAGTCAGTAGACACTGATAATAGTGGTACGATATCAGAAGAGGAGTGGCTAAACTTTTGGACATAAGTATTACGCAGCGGACACACAGAGGAAGAAATAGCAGATGAAGTAAACTGTGTGTGAATATCTGCATTTTAGTTAGAAAGTATTGAATCTGGATCTTCGTGGGTAAAGTTCGAGAATTTGGAAAACAAGAAGGGTTGACATTGATCATCAATATACAAATATAAAAATATTATATAATTACATGTTATAATTTAGGAGAACTATTTTTGATTAAAATGAAGACGCAGTCATGTGGAAATAAGACAATCAACCACCTCCCCTTCCCTTATAATAACAAGGTACAATTCAATTGTGCTTTATCCAGGAAATGTATTGATGAAATAATATGACAAATTTATCCCAGTCTAATTGGAAATATGTCCTGAGAGATTATATAAAAGGCTTTCACCAAATCAGCTAGTATATTGCACATTAGACAAGTGCAGGTTGAGAAAATTTACATTTTATGATTAAGTTCTACCCCATCACAAATTCGGCATAGCACTGCAATAAAGAGACCAATAGGAAACATTCCTAATAGACTCAGCAGATGAGTTTAGGAAATGGTTTCTCTTATTCAAAAGATATTGCGTTTTGGATAAATTCAAACAAAAATTTAAAGTTCTAAACAAGTCTAAGTTGGAAGATCCCTTATTTGGACAATGTTATTTTAATTGCATCCACAGCAATAATTACAAATTAGTAAAAATAATTGATAAGGCAAATATAACGAATTATTAATTACAATGTTTAAGCAAAGAAATTAGCAGTCTTCGTAAATTGAGGTATTATTTATATAACTTAGTTCTCCTTTGGTGATCTTCTTTAATGAACTTTATGAAGATGATACTAATATTTACATTGTATACAATCATTATTAGGGTTTGGACATGAGGAGTTGGTTAAAGGAGAATTCCCAAAATTTGGAAGAGAGATTGGTGGCTTAAATCATGTTCAATCTTCTAACAGCCATATCTCACATGCATGCCAGAGGAGTGTTTCATAGAGACATCAAATTGGATAGCATTCTAATTCAGAGCCAATTACCCTCCGTGTTATTGACTAATTTCTGCTATTCTGAGACCTACATCCCATAAACCCCATTTAAGAAGTGTGGAACTCCAGGATTCATAGCCCCAGAGATCTTCAAAACTAAGTTGTACACTCCCAAAGCAGATATGTTCAGTTTAGGCTGTTTATTTTACGTGCTTTATTTTGGGAAAATCCCATTCAGTGGATCCTCTTAAGAAGAGATACTGTCACGGAATGAGGCTGCAGTAGTGGACTATCAAATTTAGTAATGTCTTATAGTTAAAGAAGGAAGTAACTTTGTAGGAAGGTGTCTTCTTCTGGGATAAATTTGTTGAAGGCTCTCCTGATCGCAGATCCAGAACAGAGGCTGTCGGCTTAATAGGCTCTTCAACATCATTGGTTCATCAAGATGGGGACTAAACAGTAGGCAAAGTTCCACAAGAATATTATAAAGGGGAAGTCTCTTTCAACAATAATTGAGAATTCAGTGGATATCACTCACAGGTACGAAGGGGATGTTATTGTTTAGTATGCAATGTCAGATTCCGTCGAGCACTTTCATTGAGGATAAGGTGGATAAGGAGTTTACGGCTGACAACTTGCAAAGACAGACTGCAGAAATTCAATTCAATTTAGTTAAAGCCTTCTAAACATAGACACTAGTATTATTAATGAATATATATATATAATAAAGTAGAATTATGAATTGGCTTATTTATACTTATACTTGTTATTGTTAAATCATACGGCTTTACTAAATACTATTTGGTCTCTGTGTTTTTCAACGTGATCGAGTAATTCTTCTAAATGCAGCTCCGCTCACTTCCATATCCTGAGCGATGTTTTTGAGATGCACTTTAAATTTATCAAACTGCTAATTTGTGATATTCAAGTCTTTATGAACTTCCACTAAATCTCTAATGGATTCTTAGATTATGTATACTTGCCAGTGTATTGAGTATTCTTGTCGCCCATCATTTGAGAAAAGAATCTCTTCTACTGATACCTAACCCGGCTCATATCCGCCTTCAAGAACTTGTCCCTTAGCAACTTGTCGAACAAGACTTTGTAATAGAATTAGTCGATCAATTCAGACACTTGTTGATCCCCTCCAAATCTCTCGTATAGTGATTTCTTGTTGTCCATTTCTTTAAAATCTTTTTATTAATTTATATATATAGAAGCATATTTATACTAATATTAAATATATTATATAAATAAAAATGTCCCTAGGCGTCCCTCTCAAAATCATGCACGAAGCATGTTCATCATATAGTTACAGTCGAACTCAAAACAGGCGAGATGTTCACTGGATACATGGCAGAGGCAGAGGTAGCTTTGAGTATCATTGCCAGGACACAATGAATGTCCGATTGGATGAAGTGCAGATGGTCACTCGAGATGGCAGACCAATGTCATTAGAATAGGTCTATTTGAGAGGCAGTTAGATTAGATTTGTTGTGATTCCAGATGTGTTTAAATATGCGCCTATGTTTAAGAAGATCAGAGCCAATGCCAAGAGCAAGAACATGCAATAAATAAGAGAAAAGGCCAGATAAGTGAGAGGTATGGAATTCACATCATTTGTTAATAATAGAGGAGTTGGTGCCTCGTATCAAGTAGGGTTTGGAGTAGTAGAAGAAATGATAAATAAATATCAATTGTAATTTTAAGTTTAAATAATAAATTTTATGTCGAATTCTTTGAAATACTTGGTGATTTATCGTCACGAAACTGAAAAATTAATTGCCTCATACCTGATTTAATCTGGGAGTGAGGAACCTTTAAAAAGTGAGTCATCCAAAGTTTGTTATGAGTTAAAGAGAAATCAACTAAGGATAGAGGAAAGATAAAAAGTTGATTCCGCAAATGGGAGTTGGTTTTGTAAAATTGACGATAAAGGGCTTTTCTATTTAATTTTGGGAAGTATGGGTATTGATCATTAAGTTAGTTTCCACCTATCCGGAGAGGCATGCCTATGCTTTGATTCAGGAGATTTAAAATGAATTCTCCAAGTTGGGCAATAGTGAAACATTGAAGGATGATACCAGTCTTAAATTACATATAAAGAAACCTCTCAGGGACTTGGGGTCGAAGTATAACGATTTGCTTTCTTTGGATAAAATATATCAAGCATAATCAAATGTTTCCATATATGATGTTATTCTATAATTAGGTAGATCAAACCAAAATCGTTATGGAAGACAACATTAAAAACATGATTAACAATGGACAGTAGTTAGATGTGCTTTAAATAAAGAGTGAAGATCTGAACAAGAACGCAAAATAATTTGCTAAGAATTCTGCTGAATTAGTAAGATTCGCAATTTAAACTTAGGCTTCCATTATGTATTGGAGAAACATGAAGTTAAAGATCATCATTGGATTGATCATATTGGCTGGACTTTTATACATTATCGTACCAATAATAATAAAAGTAAGTGCATCCAATTGATTTATAGCAAATTATGTAATTCGTTTTTAATATTATATATAAATATGCGTGCTTCTCATATTTTATTGCTCATTGTTGCCATCAAAGCAGTCAAATTTTTAGACGAACCTGCAGTACTATTGGAGGACGATGAAAAACCATACATGTAATTCACAGTCTTTGCCTAACAATCTTCGTTGTTTACAGACGAAGAATTGGCTAGAAACTCAGAGCCTGCCAAACAATATGAATCTGGATTCAATTTTGAAGATGAAAACTAATCAGCCTTAAATAGTGCAGATCAATCTTAAGTCTTATTGGCTGCCTAATATGAAAATGATTTACCAGCCACTGGAGATTGTGTTGTACTTTATTCTGCATGCGACTTCAAAGGCACATCAGGAAAAGTATGTAAAGCTGAGGATGCCATGAACTTCCAAATCCCAATCTTTTCAATCTATGTTCCAATCGGGTAACATAATCGTTTTTAATTTAGATAACAATTCACTACATTAGACTCTACCAAAAATGAATAAGTAGCCTTCTTGACAAGCGAGAAATGTTTAAATGACCCATTAGTTATGGCTGACACATAAAAGGATGTATTCATTGCAAAACCATCATTATCATTGGCTGGATCTGATATTGCATCAAGTAATCTACTCTATTTTATGTATCAGGTGATGACGTTACTGGACCATAACCATAGTTGATATAAGAAACATAAGACTAATTTGATGCACCATAAATTGAAGAAGATTAATAAGTTAACGTTGAATAAGTATAAGAATAGGTTTAATAAACTGAATAAGTATAAGAATAAGTTTAATAAACTGAATAAGTATAAGAATAAGTTTAATAAACAGAATAAGTATAAGAATAAGTTTAATAAACAGAATAAGTTTAAGAACAAGTTTAATAAACAGAATAAGTATAAGAATAATAAGTTTAAGAATAATAATAATAAGTAGAAGTTGATGCTTAATAATAAGAATAATCATAATAATAAGATTAATAGTAATCTGAAACTCCTGAAATTCAATAAAATGAAACATCAAGTTAAGAATAATAAGCTTCTGTAGATGATGTGCCTTAGGCTGCTGAAGTACTTGTTGGGTAAACTTAATGAGAAGGATTAAACAACAAATATAAATTTAATATATAATAATTATTTCTAAGTTTAATATTAATGAGTAGTGACATAAAGAAACAAATGAATGATTTTCGTAAGGCTCATTTTACAGTTGGGTTTGATAAATGTATAGTCAATTACATATCATGTTAGCCTCTGGCAGTACTAATTACGTGGATGATTATACTGCCAAAAAACCGGATAAGGAATTGCCAACTACTGAAGAAGCTAAGCACTTTGAAGCATACATAGCAAATCCTCGAAAAGCCCATTTTGAATTAGGAGAAGACAATGTCAATTATTAATCTATTGCAAAATTATCATTTAATCCAAAAGAATCATAAAAAGCACAACTGTCTGAAGAAACCTAGAAAGATCTACGTAATCATCATTTTAAATTGGGATTCCACAGTGTCCCAAGTGAAACTGAATATTCCCAATATAAGAATCAGCCTTTGGATATCCAGAAGAAACAATAAGTAAATATTCGTAAACATCATCACGACTTTGGAGATCTGAAAACTTACTTCACAACAACATATCAAGACACAAACAAGGAATATCACGTTTAAAAGGAAGAATATCATGCACCAGATATTCGCAAGACCAATATCAATATAGGAAATGTATCATTCATCAATCATCTTAGAATCCAATGGATTACACTACTCATTACGCTCGATATCATGATGGGTAACAGAATCCCCAAACCCACAACAAAGGAAATCTGGAGAAATTTCTTAAAGAGTCTCATCTTGTCTTGGGTGAAGATCCTACAGTCAAGAGTTCACAGAACAAAGATGCCTTCCAAGGATAATAGAATAAAGAAGTCATTAGAGTCAATAAAGAAGTTTTATTAGATTTAAGAACAGCTCATTTTGATTTTGCTTATCAAAAAGCAGAAATGCCTTAAACAACAAAATAATCAATGTTCTAAAAAACAGCCATTGCAGTATCATAACCAAACTTACCTACCAGTTCATTGACCATTGGTACTCATGGATTCTTGAATGATCGATACTATCAAACTAGTTATGCTACTAATTATGCTAATCCAAATACTTAGAAACCAGAACTTGTCAAAGATCCCAGAATCACAGCTGTCAAATTTGGAGATGAACAAGTAGATTATAATACTGAGAACAATAGAAAGTAATCTATAATAATAATAGTTTAGTTACTAGATACCAGAAAAAGTAGATTAATTTAAATTGGATAGAAATTAGATAAGAGATTTAAGATAACATCATTTTTAATTGGGAACTGACCCTATTGAATATCCATCAAAAACTAGTCAAATTACTCCACAACCTAATGCTTTGAGTGAAGATCAACTCAAAGATTTAAGAAGATAGCATTTTGTTTATGGAAGTTAGATAGGAACATACAATACTCACAATTCAGAATATGGCACTAGACAAGGTCCTCCTAATAAGTTGGATGCATAACTATAGAAGGACTTAAGAATGCATCATTTTGAAGAAGATGGAGAAAGAGGTTTTTAAACTTCCTACAGGGCCATGCAGCCAACACAATGATTAATTATGATGTTCATTTTTAATAAATGAAAATAAACAAAAATAATAATGTTTTAGTTTGTAATATCTAAAAATTAAGATAGGTTTAACTTTTCTTCCATTTTAATGAAACCTTTGTTTGTTCTTCTAATATGAATAATGACAATTATTATAAAATAAGAATCGTATTAATAAGACTTATTAAAATAAGGGGTTCACTAATCCAATTTTATTTATTTATTCATAGAGGAATAGGAAGTATTCTAATAATGAGTTGCTTTGCTGAATTGTTAAAGTCTTGGTAATGTAAAGCAAATGAATATTTGAATTGTATTTACATTAGTCTTTTATCATATATTAATTAATGGCAAGAATTTAAAAACCCAAATTTTTTATTTAAAAAAATATCTTAAGAAATGACATCCGTTCCTTTAGTATCAGTTTTTTCAGCCGACGACTCAACCAAGGTCACAGCCAAACACATCCCACTTCCAGCTGTGTTCTAAACACCAATTAGACCAGATATCGTCTCATTCGTTCATACTAACATTGCTAAGAACAGAAGACAAGGTATTTGAATTTTGATAATCTTCTCTTATAGCTCATGCTGTCAACCCATAAGCCGGTATGTAACACAGTGCTGAATCCTGGGGTACTGGTAGAGCCGTAGCTCGTATTCCAAGAGTATCTGGATCAGGAACACACAGATCTGGCCAAGCTGCCTTTGGTAATCAATGCAGAAAGGGAAGAATGAGTTTACCAATCAAAGTATGGAGAAGATGGCACAGAAGAGTCAATATCAAATAAAAGAGACATGCAGCTGCCACAGCTGTTGCCGCCACAGGAATTGTCCCATTGGTATTGGCTAGAGGTCACAGAATCAGCTAAGTCCCATAAATCCCACTTGTTGTTGAAGACAAGATTGAATCATATGAAAAGACTACTGATGCTCTCAATTTCTTGAAGAGATTCGGTGCTTTTGAAGATGTCTAAAAGGTTGTTTCCACCAAAGTTGTCAGAGCTGGAATCAGCAAATAAAGAGGAAAGAAATACAGAGTCAGAAAGGGACCATTGGTTGTCTACTTCAACGAGAATGCCAAATTGTTGAAAGCCTTCAGAAGTAATTACATTCATCGATAAATCCATTAGATGTCCCAGGAGTTGAAGTCGTCAATGTCACCAGATTAAATCTCCTCTAACTTGCCCCAGGAGGTCAATTGGGAAGATTCGTCATTTGGACTTAAAGCGCCTTTGCCCACCTCGATAAATTGTTCGGAACATACAGATATGCTTCAGTTCTCAAGGACGGATATCAATTGTTGAGACCACTCCTCACCAACCCAGATTTGGCTAGAATCATCAACTCCAACTAAGTCTAAGAGAAGGTTCAACCAGCCAAGACAACCAAAGTCCTCCATGATGTCTAAAAGAAGAACCCATTGAAGAACACCAAGGCTATGGACAGATTGAACCCATATGCTAAAAAACAAAGAGCTGCTGCCGTTGCTGCCATCAAAGCCAACACCAAGGGAACAAAGAAGATCAAGAAGGTATTCATTAATCATTATATTTCCCTTAGAATAAGGCACTTAAGAAGGCCTCAAAAGCTGCTTTCAACAAAGTTGCTGCTTCCTTAAGCGATGCTACTAAGGCTGCCGTCTAAGAGGAACAAGACATCAAAGTTAAATATTTCTCAGTTCAAAAGGGAGCTGCCTAAGCAGAATGATGAGCTTAATCATATTAATTGTATAATAAATACATACAATATTTCCCCAATATTATTTATAAATTATTTTATGGGTAAAAAAAAAGAGTAAAAGCCAATCTCCAATAAAGACATCAACGATATCTTTAAGCCTATAAAAAAACAAAATAAACAGAGGGTGAATAATCCTGATTAAGTCTAAAATGAATAAGGGAATCAGGAACAAAAATAGAAAAAATCAGAAAAATCCAAAAAAACTCAAAACCCATAAGCTGCCAAAAATCCATAAGCCAAGAGATTCCAAAACTCCAAGTAAGAGCAAAGCAAAACAAAATACACAGAGGAAGGGTATAAAGTGTATAGTACAGATGACTTAAAAATTGGTAAAGGTGGCAATACTAATTTATGCCCTTTCGATTGCGAATGTTGTTTTTGATCAAATATTAATCATTAATTTTATTGAACTATTGTTTTAAGAGTATTTTATTTAGTTATTTTAGTAATTAATTAATTCTTATTAAATAATAGGCTAAAAAATTCATTAGCTTTATAAATTTATAGAATTAATGTTATTTTAATAGCCGTTCCATATAATAAATTAATAAAAACTTAAACAGTAAACTAACAGATTGCTTTGAAGACAAAAACGATATTCTTTGATTAATACTAATTAAAATGAAGTTCTTAATTTGTTTAGCTTTGATAGCATTTACATAGGCAGTTGTGATTAAACATGCTTCAAATCCACATGCTGCAGTATTTGCCTAGCTTGAGAACCTTGAGGATAATCCTTTAGGAAAAAAGATTCTTGACACAATCGCCCTCCAAATGAAAAACCAATCTCCTTTATCTGACATTGCTAAAATGCTTTAAGATTTAAGAGAGAATTTAGTTCTTTAATAATAAGATGCTGAATTAGTTCACGTTGCTTAAGAGGCTGATTGCGAAGCTGAAATCTATGGATACAATAGAAGAATTGAATTCGCTTCAAATGAAATCACTGAAGCAACTATGGATATTAATAAATACACTTCTGATATCGAACTTTTGGAATAAGAAATTGAGAATTAAGTTATTTAATTAAATATCCTCAACTAATAAGAAGAATAATTGAGAGAACAAAGAGCTGAAGATCATGCTGCTTATGAGGAAAGAGAAATTTAAACACCAAAAGTAGTTGAAGCTCTTGACGTTATTGCTGCCAAATTAAGTGCCATCCAACCTGAAGCTGATGCTGAAGTTGTACTTGCTGAATTAGAAAGAGTCGGTGGAGAGAATCCCATCCTTGCTCTCGTTTAGTTAGCTTCAACATTTTCAGCTGAAAAATTATAAAGCGTTTAAGCTAAAATTGGAGAGTTGAGAGCCTCCTTGGAATAAGCTTTAATTGATGACAGAGAATAAGAGATCCAATCCTAACTCAATTTCGAAGCTTAAATTTACTAAATTGAAGAATAAAGAGAAGCCATTCAATCTGCTAAGGCTGAAGCTGAAACCAAGGTTGTTTAGGTTGAGCATATGTTGGCTGCTGCTAAAAAGAGAAAGTATGATGCAGGAAGAGAATTAGAGTCTGCTACCAATGGAAAGAAGATGAAGGAGGCTCAATGTGATAATTGGAGATCATTATATGCCAGAGATACTGAATAAAGATCAACTGAAATCAGTATCATCAGATAGGTTGAATAAATCTTGGCTACCAAATTAGAAGGTGCTTCCAGTTACATCAAGGGAAGAATCAACTGAGTATAAATTTTAATTTTTAAACTCTTTTTTCTAATATTAAATTTTAAATATCATTTATTACACTTTGCCAATTGGAAAAATAAATAGAAATAAAACATACATCCCGTAATTACTTTCCTATCTTTATTCATAAGGGCTAAAATTGATATTGAATTGAAATCGAGAATTAAAAAAATTATTCTCATATTTAATTAAATGGTTGATATATCAATAAAGAATTTAATAATTTGAATAAGGAAGAAATAAAAAAAATTTAAATCTTTGCTATCTTTTCTATTTGAGTCTATATAAACATTACCATCTGATTGAATATTATAATAAATTCAAAGGAAAAAATAAATAATTTTTAATTCTTAAATAAATCCATAAAACATTATAATTTATTAACAATCATCAAATCTAAATTAGAAAAATAATTTATATGGTTTGGAAAAAAAGATTCCCAATAAATAATTAGTATATTATATTTCCCATTCCCCATGGAATAACAAGTTGAACAACTCCGAAATTAGTCTGTTTAATCGACTTTTGAGGCGAATAAACCAAAAAGACCTTATCAAAAAATTTCTTAAGAAACACGATCTCAAATTCTCCAAGCCTTGACGGTTGAGAAGTTGTCTTTATGCAATGTAAGTGGATTTTTCTATTGGAATAGGTGGCTGAAATGTTTAAAACGAAGGCCTGTACCTGCAAGGCAATTTTACAAACGTATGAGCAGGAAGGCAGAAGGGAGAAGAAGACCAGCAGAAGAGAAAGAGTAGAGATACAATCACTCCTTAAAATAATTGTAGTAGACCCTTTGGGACGATCGAACTAAGAATACATTAATATTAAACATTCTAAAGTATATAAAATAAACTTATTAAAATATTTTAGATGTATACCGAAGAAAAAGTTCTGAGTAGAAAGGAAGAAAAATAACTCAAAAGAAGACTCTAATAGGAAATCTTAGCACAACTGGAAGAACTGCAAACTGGCTGTTACAATGTATAATAAACAATCTCGAAGGACAACAATCCAGATGAAAAAGCTCCAGAAAATATTGCCCGAGGAGTCAACATGAGTTTATAATTAATTTAGTCAAAGTTAAAAATGGATGGTGTCAGTCTGAGTAAGTAAGAAACAAAAAAGTTAAAGGAACTAAAAAAACATTAGTAATTAACTAAATTGGAAGAATTAGTAAAGGTTGAAGAAGGAAAAAGCAATTAGAATTCTTATATTTAGTAAGAACAAAAATTCGAAATCCCAAAGACAAATGGTTTATAAGAATTGGGATAGAATTACAGTAAAATTAAGCAATTTATAGAAAGTGTTAATTCAAAATCATAAGTAAATCCATAAATTATTGATAAATTAAACTACTTAACAAATGAAACTATTTTCTAAATGAGTCTGAAATAAAGATTGTAAGATAAGGATTTTTAAGTATCAATTTTAAAACACAATGTTTCTAGATACTTAAAATAATTTTTTTTAAGTAATTGATTATTATAAATTTACTTACTAAATATTCTATATCCTACAATCTTTTAACAAAAATCCATATAAATCCAGCAAGTATTTAAAATCAATTTATCTGCTAATTTTTCTTTCTTTTTTAATTAAAAAGAAGAATTTAAAAATATTCTTCATTGAATTCCCAGAAGTTGAAATAAATAGATTAGAGCCAGATATTTATAATGATTAAATGAATTAGAATATTATGGTACCTCGCAATTTTTTAAATAGTTCAAAATTGTTAATAATTTATTTGTTTAACCTTTCTTATATAATTGAATGTAAAAAAATATATATTATAAGTAAATTGAAATGTAATAAAGTATAAAAAATACCCAAAGAAAATAGAATGGGGAATTGACAAAATTAATGGATTGTCATCAATTAAATTAATAAATAAATTAAAACTAAATAAATAATCGAATATTGTATAGAATGCAGTTATTTTATACATAATTTATGATGGAAGAACAAAAGCATAGAAAGCATTGAATACATTGGGTATTGAAGTGAATTTTTGAAAAAAATTTATTTAATTGAAACATCAAAATAACTTAAACAAAAAAACCTAGAATCACTGATCAATATTTAGAATTTGTATTAGGCATTTTGGCAGGTTTGAAACTCTGCAAATGACTAAAATCGTAGATCGAACTATTGTCCTTTTTTTATTATTCTTATAATTAGCTTGATTACAAATTCCTCGGTTATCTATTTTAAGGAATAGATGGAACGTATTCCCCATATTCTAAACTCTTGGAAGATTAGGTAGATTATTTGGAAGGCAGGGGTTTATTTTCAGTAGTGATGAAATCCAAAATGTCATCTAGATCATTGCTATCGTCTTCCATCGGTTATTATTGCACAAATTATTTTTGTTTGAATTGATTCTAAGGTTCTTCTTTTTGACTGTAAGATTTGGGTTTTTTTTCCATTTCTGGAAATTTCAATTCATCTTTAGATTTGACTTGCTCTTCAAAAATGATGGGAGGTGCAATTTTTTCAATGTTGTAGAAGAATGGATGAGTTAACATTTGAGTGGCAGTGATTCTCTTATTGGGATCCCATCTAATCATTTGAGTCAATAAATTCAAGGCTTCAGTGCTGGCATTGGGTATGAGCTATTGTAATTAGAGAGGTTAAAATTATGCTAATGCTAATCCCATTTAGGAGACTAGTCTACATCCTTCTGGCCATTCGGATTAAGTGAAAGTACTAAGTTAAATAATGAAATTACCCAAGAGTGGAAAGGATCTTATTGAATTATTCTAATTCTGAATTGCCTTGAAACAGAGGTCGATTTAAAAACAATTCAGCCATGATGCAACCTAGAGCGAATATATCGACTGGACTATTGTAATTGGCTTGTTTCAATAGAATCTCTGGAGCCTTGGATTGAATTAATTGAAAGAATTTACCCTATACCATCTGGTGGCAATGTAATCTGTGTATGGTGGTCTTGATCTGATTTCTCTTGCGCATCCAAGATCTATAACTTTGACAACGCCGTTGTTAGAGACCAAGAGATTTTCTGGTTTGAGATCTCGATGAAAGTAGCCATGTTTATGCATGTAACTGAGTCCATTGGCTACTTGGTAAATGAGGGATTTGATTTGGTCTTCTGGAATGGTTTTGCCCTAAGCTCCATCTTATATTTGGTTACCATCTCTTTTTGCTGGATGTACATTTGATAGATGCTTTTGTCTACGAACTCAAAGACGAGACAGAGAGTGTCATTGTCCAGAAACACTAATTTGAATCAATTCTTACGTTCTTTAAGCTTGACAATGTTTGGGTGATTTTAAAGTTTCATCAGAGCTTTAACTTCTCTTAAGTTAGTGCATTCTTCAAAATTGTGATACTTCTATTTCATCTTTTTGATGGCGACCAAATCATGACTCTACATGTCTTCAGCCTTGATCACCACTCCAAATGTTCCATCCCCGTTCTTTTTTAATTCTCTGAACTTTTTCATATTACCTGAAGTAATAATTTAATTTTATGAATATATAGTTATATACTAATATATTTATACACATATAACAAAAATTGATTAAACAAATTAATTAGTAGTACTCGACTGTCAAATAAAATCAAATATCTACTAATTAGCTATTCGTTGATTGGGCAGTAATTCAGGTTTCAACTTGATTCTTCCCCTTGAATACCGTAGTTCTGCGATCCAATCATGAGAGAAACGAGAGATCGTTTTTGCTATATCCGTTTTGAGTAGTGAACTAACATAGTTTAAATTACTTAAAAAATTAAAAATAATGAGTTAAGAAAAGAGCTTGCCTTCTGCATCCAAATCAATTACAAAGAAACCCTGCTCTTGGAAATAAATGTTCCGAAAGAAGAATTGCGAAGAACAAAAGAAGAGGGAAGAATTAAGGAAGTTGGGAGAAGAAATAGCCAGAACTGAAGAGTTCCTCCAAAATGCTTGGGCTATTGTTGCTAAAGTGGTAAAAAGCAAATCTCATCTTAACTAAATGAAATCATGATTTAACATCCTCATATTATAATGTTAAAATATCTTACTTGCACTCTACATTTTTCCTCTTGATTTTACTTATCATTTACCTTACCGATCAAACTATTCGTATCCACACTCATCATCCATAAAATCTAAGATATAACTATAATTTCAGGCAAAACAAAATCTGCACACTAGAATGCAACTAAACAAAGAAACTGATGCTAGTTTCGCAGAATCATTCTTAAACTTGTCTCTATTTCGACTCACATCCTTATTTCCCACAAAAGATGTTATGTGATCTTTTCGCTTGAATTCTTTTTCATGTATACTCATCAAATTGCTACCCCTTCCAAGTGCAGAATGAGAATCACGTTATTACTTTAAGTTTCCGGTTAAATTCTAAAAGAAGATGTCAATAATATTACTAAGTTTATTTTATAATAATCGGTTGCTTATTTGGAATTTGAATAATTTAATAAATAGTTATGAAAGTCCACAGATCACCTTGTTAGTCCTTTCACACCGTGAGAACTTCGCAAGGCAATTTCACTACCCCGGAGAGATTGGTTAAGGTTTAAGCCAACTCAGGAGTTAAATGTAGTCCCTTTTAGAAAAACGAAAATCAATTCAAAAATTACCAATCCAGCACCATTTCGAAGAGAAAGGACAGTACAACCATATATGATTACATCAATGAATTAGAACAAAGTAGATATGTTATATTAGCTCAATAGAAATCAATAAATTGGAACAAAGTTAAACTAGGAGTTTAAATAATAATTATCCTGAAATTTTATAATTAGAGAAAAGAATGCTGATGCTCCTAAATGAAAATTGCGAATTGAAGAGTGAAGCCCTTGCCAATTAGAAATTGGCCTATGAAAATGAGCAACTCAAATAGTTGGTCCAAGAACAATAGATGAAAATCCTTGAGTTTGGAGAACAATATAACCTGCTCTTTGATTCTCATTAAAAAGTCTGCGAAGAGTACAGAGTCTTAGAATCTAAAATCTAGACATACGAACTCACCATGTCCATTCGAAAACATTCAAGCTTTAGTGAATATTTCAAGACTTCTGAATGAGAATATAATTCATTTTTTTAAATCTTGTTAGTGTATAAATTACCAATTTCTTTCAATCACATATTCTAATTAATTAGTCAAAATTTGACAATATAATTTTATTTAATGAATAAATATTGCAATAATAGTAATAATATATATTAACAATTCTTAGATCCCACAGGAGAATGGAGCAGATTAATCCAATAGCAAAATTCTCAGTCTGATTAGCAATAACAATTACTAAAATACGAGGACTATCAACGCAAATTGCAATACAGGTAACTTAATATAGAAATCGTATGTAGACAAGAACTTCAAACTGCAATGCAGGAAAGGAAAAAAAAGAACTCAGAAAGCTTTGATACTAACCAATATACAGATTAAGTATAACAAAGTTTGTAGAGGCAAGACATTGAATAATTTCAGAAATACCAATAATTGAAATAAAAGGAGGCTGAATTCGCTAAATATAGTTTGGAATAGTAAGAAATTAAGAGGGTGCTTTAAAAGCAATAGAATTTAAATGAAAAACAATAGATTAGCGAACAAATGTTTAGAAATTAATAAATTTTTAAGGAAGAACTAATTGAAAAATAAAATAAAAAAAACAAAGTTATTTATGAGTTAAATTAATCCTACAAAGACATGGAAGATAAGAAAAAATTTGAACAGGTTAAAACAAAGTTATTTGAAAAGTAAAGCATGTAAGAAGAACTCAATAAACTACAATAGGATGAGGAACAAAGACGAAATGTATTACTTCACTATTTATATTAGTTCTTGAATAAATTAAAACAGAACTATCATCAAAATGAAGGATTGTTGGAAAGATATAATTAAATCTATATACAAAAAGAAAGAGAAAAAAGTGAAATGGAGAATAAAATAATAAAGGAGGCGGCTGAATAGAAGAGACAACAGGATGAGCAAAGATAAATTATAGAGAGAGCTATCAGACAAAAGAAAAACAAAGAAACCTATAATTCTATCATGGACTAAATCGAATACAAGCGACAATGGAAAGAGCGAGAATAATAATAGAAATCATAGGAATTGGAGTATTATGGAGTTGTGAATGAGCAATACAAGAGAAAGGATTAGGATGATCTGTATAGGAAGGTAGAGAAGTAAAAATAGTATCGATAAGATTTGATAATGCAAATTGAAGAACAATAAACCAAAAAAAAAAGAGATTAATCAATGAGTGCTATTGAAATGAAAATTAATTAAAACTATTACAACAATGAAGCATTAAATGTTGGAATTGTTCCAGGCATATTTGTTGATCACAATAGACTTAAATAACAGTATATCATTAATATAACTTAGAAAATATCTTGATAGTAATCAAAGCAAAAGATAGAGTAGTTAATTTTAAAGATAGAGAAACTTAAGTGCTTATTTTGCTTCAAGTTAAATGAATTGATAATTATTAAAATTTAGATATATATATATTTTTAAGTAATAATCATCCCATTAATTGTAGATTACTAAGATTTATGATGTTTTATTTTTAAATGCAATTATTTCAAAATTCAACAAACTGTTTATTTCTGTCATCAACGCTCTCAAAGTGTGTTTTAAGAAAATTATAAATTCTAATTATTAAAAATGACTGAAAAATAAATAGAATTTGAGTATTTATTAAGAATTGTATTGGTTGGTGATTCTGGAAGTGGTAAGACTACACTCTTCATGAAACATGCAGAATAATAATTTTGTTAAAATTTATCTCCAACTATTGGGATTGAATTTCACAATAAATTTGTTGAATATTAGAGAAAAATGATTAAACTATAACTTTGGGATACTGCAGGTTAAGAGACATTTCGATCAATAAGTCAAAATTATTATAGAAAAGCGAACTCTATTTTTTTCATCTATGATATCACAAACAAGCAATCTTTTGAGAGAGTATATTAATGGATGAATGAAGCCAAATAATTAGCACCTTCTGATTTAATCAAAGTTCTCATTGGAAATAAAAGCGATTTAATTAATAAGAGACAAGTAAGTTTTGATGAAGGAAAATTATTTGCTTTAGAAAATGACCTTGAATTCTTTGAATTGTCTGCTTTCGGGAACAGGAATCTAGAAGATCCAATATATTATGTTCTAGAACAATTTCTTAAGTAAAAGGAATCAGAATAAAACTAAATTATTGAAAACAATCTTGCCTTATCAAATTAAATAGTATAAATTGAAAATATCAATTAAAATCAGTCTTGTAAATGCTGATTTTGTAATAAATTTACATAAATATTTATAAAGATTGTATGAATTCTAAAGTAGCTTTTATATATTTCAAAATAAACTTAAATTTTTAGTTAATAATACAAAGGAATTATATTAATTGATAAAATTCTCATTCAATATTTATCATGTAGTAATAATATTATATTTTAAAGGAATTTAATAATGATGTTTAATTTTTAAATGAAATTATATGAAATTCTATTACTATTTATTTCTATCTTTAAATTTCAGAAAAATTTTCTTTAATTATGAAAAGATGTAGAAAATAGAGTAAGAGAAATTTCAACATTAAATAAAAATTCTATTCCTTGGCGATACTGATACTGGAAAGACTACGCTCCTCTTAAAATATGTAACAGGAAAATTTGACCCTTCATAAACAACTATTGGGGTGGATTTCAAATATAAATCTGTTGGGTATTAGGGAAAAATGATTCGTATATAAATTTGGGATACTGCTGGTTAAGAGAGATATAGGTCTATCAATTAAACTTAATTTAAGAATGCTAACTGTTTTTTTTTCTTCTATGACATCACAAACTAAAAACCCTTTGAGGAAGTGCTTAGGTTGTTGAATGATGTCGAATAATTAGCATCACCTGATGTAATAAAAATACTGATTGGAAATAAAATAGATTTAAACAGTAATAGAAAGGTAAGTTATGATAAAGGAAAATAATTCGCTTAAGAAAATCGCCTTGAATTCTTTGAAACCTCAGTTCTCCAGGACAGAATTCTAGAAGATCCAATAAATTATGTTCTGGAGCAATTTCTTAAGTAAAAGGAATTGGAATAAAAATAAAATATTTAAAAGAATCAAATTAATGTTGCCTTGTCAAATTAAATAGTACCGATGTTAAATAAAAAGACTAAGTAGTTTGATCAGATATTAAAAATTATTTTGCTTGGAGATAATGGAATTGGTAAGAGTTCACTCTATTAGAAATACTGTTTCTAAACTATAATTTCAACAACACCAACCATTGGGGTTGACTGTTATGATAAAATTGTTGAATTTTAGGGAAAAAAGTTAAAGATAATTCTTTGGGATACTTCAGGTTAAGAGGCATTTATGCCAATCGTTTAACCACATTGTAATAATGCTAACAGTGTTTTTTTCATCTATAATATCACATCAAAGGATACTTTTTAGGGAATAATTAAATGGATAAATTTGGCCAAAAAATCAGCATCACGCAATACAATAAATGTACTTATTGGAAATAAAATCGATTTAAACTCTAGTAGATAAGTAAGTTCAACAGAAGGATAATAATTGGCTTAAGATCTAAAATTGAAATTCTATGAAACGTCAGCTAGATATGACAATCCTCTAGAAGATCCAATAAATTATGTTCTGGAGCAATTTCTTAAGTTAAACGAAAAACAACAAATTCAAAGTAATCAAAAAACAGTACAAATCGAAAATAGAAATTAAAGCCTATCTTGTAATTGCTGATTTTATGTTAAATTTATCTTAATATTTATAAAGATTGTATGATTAAAGTAGCTTTTCTATATTCTAAAATAAACTTAAATTTTAGAAAAAAAACAAAGGGTTATATTATCATATATGATTCTCAATTAATATTTATCAAGTAATACTAATGTTATGATTAATATTAATGAGTAGTTGCAGATGTTATATAAAATAATATATAATTTTTTAATAATTGTTTTAAAGTTTATGAGTTCTTTCAATATCTTAAACAATAAATTTATGCAATCAGCAATGGAGAGAAAGTCATAAAGATCTATTGAACTCAGCCAAAAAAATCTTGATGGATCTAATAAATCCATTTCTTATGAGATGTGGGATAAGAATGATGGTTTAGATTCACCGATGACCCCTTCAATCAAACTTCCAGGTTCTAATTAACCTAAATTAATAAATTCAGTAAGAAACCAAGCCAAAAGACCATGAGAAACTTATTGACATGACCTTTTTTACATGACAATATTTAATCTATAATAATTGAATATTTTATAGTTGAATTTTATATAACTCGACAAAGTACGATTCATAAAGAAGAAGGAAAGGTCCATTTCCTAATTTTTTGTTCCAAAGATGCCAATATATTCAAGAAATGAAAGTTTTTTAAATTGGATTGCTAAATTATTCTACACAAGAATTGTTAAGAATATGGTAATACTATATAGTGTTTATGTAAATATGATTAAATTTAAAGATGATATGGTTTCATTATTTAATATATAATAAAATTATAGAAAATCAAAAGATGGGAAATAATCCCCAATAACAATTTTAAAATCAACAATACGATGATGAATGGGAGATTTTGGAGATAGAGAAGCCAAAGAAAATTTTAAATTTGAGGCAATCAACTTTGAATAAATCAATTTTTACAGTGATAGATTATTAGGAACCAAGTTAGAATAAAGCAAAGCCCTTGTTTTCTGGAAATCACCCTGAAAAATAAACAACAAAATATCAGATTTCGAAACGAATTTAGGAACTTTAACATAAAATAGGAGGTGAGACACTTTTCGGTGTAAGAAAAGGACATGGGCCTATTTAATTAGGGGTGGAAGGTTAATCAGAAGTATAAGATTATATAATTTCTTAGTAAAAACTTGAAGATAGACCTCAATTTCCAAGAAAGCATAAAAGAGCTGAAGTGAAATTTGCAAATCTGCAATTAGATTGATTTAAATCATATTATTACTATACATAATTTCTATCATCTACTTTTATTAAATAGATAATATGGAGAATTTAATTCTCAAACCTTAAAGTTAATGAATTAATTTAAAAAAACAAAATTGAACTTAGATCAGTACATAAAGTTGCTTCCTGAATATCTCATAATCTATCTTTGTTAACTAAATGAAGCTAATAATATTTTAATATTATTAATACTTTTTTATATTCCAGAATTAACTAAAGAAATAGAATCAATTCGTCCTCGATCAGGTTTAGATGTATTTTTAACAATGAACCTAGTGGCTGATTGTGATGAAGACTTTTAGATGTTTCTTGTAGGCGTTTAGCTTTGATATTCTTCTTTTTTTTTCTGTTTTCCAATTTGAATCAACCATTATCTATACATCCAATCATCAGTTTGGCAACTTTTATCAACCTTGGTTGGCTACTATTACTATTCTCTAACTGGTTCAATTTATCGTAATTTAACGTGTAATGGAATCCTTTATGTAACATTTTTAGGTTTTAGACTGTTAATAGGAAGTTTATTATCCTAATGTTATTATTAGTTTTTGGATGGTGATTCCTATAATATACTGTTTTTTTGAGTAACTAATGTTTGTTTAGTAGTGATCTGTTTCTTTTTTGTATCTAGTTATTTAAGAAAGTTCTTCTATTTCAAAGAATAAGTTTTAGGTTAAAACAATTGTACAATTTCATCATCGGACAATTCTGCATCTGATTAACTATTATCCGACCCTTGATCTTGATCATCAGTTTAAGGCATCTTTCCTAATTCCTCTAGGATTTATTACTAAATATCTGGAATATTGGCTTAATTTGTGAATTCTTTGGATGTGTCTTTTACAATTTAAGATAAGGAGTTACAGATGCTTACTCCACAGTTGATATAATCTTTGATTTAGAAATGTTTCTTCTGTTGCCCAAAGAAACTGCATTCATATGTGTATACCCAATTGATTTTCAATTCTCTCCAGATCTGAATTCTTGCAGTCTTATCCTTTGAACTCTCAACCTTAAAAGTGCAAGATGAATAATCCATGAAAGGATTCATTTTAGCCATAAGTAAGGCGAAGACCCTCTCTATAGTCTTGACTTAAGAGGAATAAGCACATCCATAGACAAATGATGATTGCTTTCTTGAATGACCATGTAAATCAATCACTAAAATGATTTGCCTTTCCTTACTAAATCCTTTAATGTATTTCTTGGCATAATAAACAGTTGGGTGCAAATACTTATTAGGTTTTTTCCATCTTCTATTCAAATCGCCACCTTCCAAACCACATCTGTAATTTCCATTTACAACTCCATCGCTATTCATCATGGGAAATATTTTAAAGATGCAATTCTATCTCAAATATTCTGCTTAAGGGTTATTCGAAGTCAAGTACTCTATAATCCCCTACATTACATACGATCCCTGCGGTTCTCCTGGGTGTTGTCTGGCCAAAAAGACTACTCCCTTTCTATATGCTCTACGTTAAATTGAGTTGGATGTTATTGTCAGTACTTCGCATGTGTTCCCTCCCAGGGTTGTACACAATGATTTCCTGGACATATATTGATTCTTATCAGGGTTATCAAGAATTGAATTCAAAAATTCTAAGAGGTTAGTGTATGTATAGGGATAGGAATGGGCAAAATAAACCTTATCATTATTGTGTTTGAAGGTGTAACTGAATCGCAATTAGTAATATTTGGCTCTCATGGCTTACGGGTATTCTTTAATAAAGGGACTCTTGAAATAACTGATGTTGAATCCACCTCGAGTCCATTCATTCTTATTGATTTCGTTCTCTTTGATTGAATAGATGGCCGGTTGCAATCCTTCGTTAAATAAACTGCTGCTTTTGAGCTAGTACTACTAATTTATAATACATGATTGAGTAAATTAAATTAAACTGTTTGGCCAGCTCTGGCTCCAGTTACACTAAAAAAAAACCATTGTGTATTGCCTCGAGTATTGATGTCGTTCTGAAGTATTAGATCATAGACATCTTCAGCTCTTTTGAAGGCACAAAACAAATTTCCAGATTCGAAATTTGAATCAAACTTCAATTAATCGGTTTGACATGGAATGAGCTTCTAATCAAATAGTGGATCTCCTCGAAAATATACTTATGGATATGATCTATTAAATGATATGCTAAATGAACTTCTTGAAATTAGCAAATAGAGTTGAAAAATAAGTTCTATCATTTGGACTCCGTTTGGATAGATCAAGTTGATCAAATCGTTTGTAAATTAAGTGTTATTTATTCTCATCGAAATATTCAAGCAATGTTCTTTCCTCCTGCTGCACCGTTTCTACAGATTGTTGCGTCGTCTATGTTTCTTCAATGAATGTGGAATAAAACTGATTGAATTAAGGCAAAGGTCTTGACTTTTCGAAAATAAAATTCTCACTTTAAAGGAAACAAGGATTTCACATCAATATCAATTGTCAATTTCCGTGGCATCAAGTCATTGGCTGGAGGTAGTTTTGTTAGAGTCTCATAGACCTTAGCATCATCCTCGCTTGAACTATCGTTGTTTATATTTTTGGATTTCATATTATTATAAAAATGAAAAATATTACAGAACCTTTGTTAAAAATACCTTACAGTTAGATATATCCTCATCAATTCCTAAAATCAATAGAAAAGATCATTCATTATAATTTATACTCATAGTATATAATTCGTAATAATGATAATAAATGTATTTCATTACTTAAGTTTTGATATTGATTTCCGATAAGTTCTGTTTTGTAGTATTACATTTTCATATTCCATAGCCAATTCTGCATATTACACACTAAGTTTGGCTGCCATTTATTCTGCATAATCCTACTCTTACTGAGCATGATTGGCTTCTTATTTATACTACTCACTCAAAGTTTCCAACTCTCTGATTTTTATAGTGTGACTCAATTTCAAATTCCCTATCTCATTTTACAAATCCAATAACTCCTTCCTCAATACTCTCTCCTTTTCATTCAAAGAAACGATTTCCTATTAAAGCTATATAGTATCATCTTATGTGACCACTTGCTGAGAATTATTCTTAATGGTTTTCTTATCTTTCAGCTCAATTATTTATTCTTCGAGTGATTTAATCTTAACTAAGATATATAGATGAATATATTATACTCTTTAATTATTAAATAATATTTTCTTTCTCTTCTTCAATGTCATTTTGCTTCTTTGAAAACTAGGACGCTTGTAGTTCCAACTTTTATTCCAATTTATTAATTTTGGTTTAGAAATCATTTTTTTAAGATGACAAATTTTTATTACTTTCTTTATTAATTTCATCTAACTCACTTTGATGATCCTATTTAAGATTGTTAATTTCTTAATGCAAGCTTTCTACCTCCTTTTCCAACTATCTTTAAACAACCATAAAGTTGAGTCTTTCATTTCCTATTTCATTCTATAAATCAAGCAGTTCTTTTTTTAATGCTCTTTCTCTTTCATTTAATCTATTGATTTCAGCCTATAATTCTATATCTCCTTTAGATTGTAATTATTCAATTTGAGCCTTCAAGACTTCAATTTCGAATGTTTTGTTTATGTCTGAACTTGAAATTGACATTCTCTAATCAAAAATGGAATTTCTATGCTAATCCTGCTTGTTTACTTGATTTGCTATCTAAATTTCTTTGATTTTGTTATCATATTGTTCGATCATCTTATTACTTTTCTCTGTTAGAATTTATAATTATTCTTCAGCAAACTTCTTTGCTTCTTTTTCTTCTGCAATCTCTCTTTCCTTCTTCTTTAACACTATTTCCATCTTTCTAATCTTACTAAGTTCACCCTCATACTACTTTGTAACCTCTTAGATCTTTTATTCAAGTGATTTCTCTTTTTTATAGTTTTCTTATTTAAGTTCATTTATCTATTTGTTACTATCCTCTCTAATCTTATGTGTTTCATCCTATAGTTATTTTTGTAACTAAGTAACTTACAGTTGTTTCTATTAAATCATTTGACTGTTATTTTCTTCTGATTATTTGATTTCATTTTTATACTTCTGTTCTTACTTCTTCAATAATTATTCTTGTTAACTTAATTTTTCCTCTGATTATTCAATTTAATGAATTAATTCCTACTCTCTTCTTTGATATTGCTCTTCTTGAATCATCATCATCTTTTGAAACTTCTATTCCACATCATTAACGGCATCATCAACGTTAGTATTATGTTCACCTAGTTCTTTAATTTTATGTATGAATTCTGCTTATTAATGTTCTTTCTCTTATTTTAATTGTTCAACATAGTGTTACAATTCTTAGGCCACTTATCTTTCACTAATCTATTATTCTTCCAACGCTTTAATTGCTCTCATGCTCTCTTAATACTAAATTTAAGCAAATCAGATTACTTTTCTATCCTGCAACTAGACTTTTTCAATATATTGATTCAATTCCTCTTATAATTCGAAAGAATGAGTATTTTTCAAGTTCAATTCCTCCTCTAAATTCTTCAGTTCTTATTGATAATTAATCTCATTAACTTAAAATTTCTAAATAAACTCAACCAATTCCTCATATGATGGTTTATCCTAAGGAATCTCTTCAACCTAGACTCTAGTGAGACTTTCCTCATTCAGTCTCTCAATTTCTTATTACTTTTGCTTAGCCTCTTCAATCAGGAGTAAATTCTTTTATTCTAATTCAGAAAGCTTGAATTATTTAAATTATTTATTTTACCTTGATCTCGAATTCTCTCAAAGAACTCTCTTGTCTATCAATTTGTTGTTGAAGCAAGTTAGTCTTGGCTTGTTCACTCTCGACCACGGTCTTCTATTCAGTAAGTTGTTTATTTAACTTGAAAACATCAAACTTAGCTTTCTTAGTAGTTTCTTATAATTATTTATCTTTTTCGCTTAATTAAGTTTGATATTATTTTTCTAATTCTTAGATCTTCTGATCGCTGTTATCACTTGTTTATTGAACAACATTCTTCAATTCATTCTCTCTCTCATCAAGACTCTATTTTAATGATTTAATTCGCTCTTCTAGTTGTTCCAGTTATTTTGTTGAATCAGATTACTACAATATTGATTACCAATAAGCATACTTTAATATCTAGTTGTTGAGTAAGATCCTTAATTTCCTCCTTTAGAGAATTTATCTGTTCGTCTTTACTTTGGCAAGCCTCTGTGTAACATTCATACATTTTAGTAAGTTCAGGTTGGTAATTGCCTTGATTAGCCTGTATTATTCCTAGAATCTATTGGAGAGAGGGAAAATCTCCTTGATGCTCTTTCTTCGGTTGAAAATCTTCGTCTGTGGAACCTGATGCTCTTCTTTTCTTCAAGGCACTTATTTCCTCTATTAATTACAAATTTTTTTTTTCAGTTTCGCTTAACTTAAATATGAATTTCATAGCTACCTTAGATTTGAGATCACTTATCTGCAATTCAAAGCGATTGATTTGATCAGCGTTATTTTGGGCAGTGGATTTCTCATTTTCTATTTTTGCATTTAGTTCGTTCTATTGCTTTTTGACTCTAAATTACTCTAATCTCAATTTTTTTTCGAGGTCACCTATCTGTTAGTCTTTCTCATTAATAGTTTTTTTTAGTAATTGAATATCATCTCCTGAATTACTCATTATATAGATTAGTAATAAAAGATAAATAAATTATTTTTTAAAAACCCATAATCTATTGTTAATCATTAACTCCAATTTTCATGACCAAAATCTATTAAAAAACCATCAACCCAATATCATATTAGTCGAATACCATTTAATCATACACTCTACACAATAGGTACTTCCAATAACTATCTGGACTTTATCAATCATCTGAACGAGATTTCCCTAAAAATTAGAAAAAAGAAGACTGAATTCCAATGCTTTATATTACTATGTAAGATTTACTAAAAATTCATATAATTTATCTAAAATTGTTTATAGTTGAAAATTTATAATTATTAATAAGTAATAATTTTGTATTAGTAAATTTTCTATATGTTGGTGAGAAGACTTATTCGAGTGAGAATATGTTTATGCTATTAAAATGTTAATAAGTAGGATGATTAAATCTAACAAAAACATAATAATAAAAAATGTTTATTTTTATATTTTAACAAATAATTGAAAAACGGGTTTTTTTTTTAATGTCTCTTCTGTGTCTGATTTGATTATATTTCATTATTAATTTTAACATGGCAAGAATAATTCCTGTATTGGCACTTATCTTGGCAGTCGCTACTGCAAGAGTAACAAGAAGTGAGAGTCCAAAAGAAGTTTTGGCTTAAATCAATAAGGATTCATTTGGAAACTCAATATTGTCAGTCCTTCAACTTCAATTGGCAACAGGAGGCCCAGTGGGAGAAATCTAAATCCTCTTGAACAACATTGCTTCATAACTCAATGGAGATTAAAAGAAAGCCGACAAGGTTCACGAAAGTGACACAGTTGCCTTTGAAAAGGTATTGAAACTCGTATAAATTTGAATAGATCATCGCTGACTTAGAATAAGAGATCGCTTATCATTAAACTTAGATTGTTGCTCTTTCTAATTTGAGAGACTCCACCACTGAGGCTTTGGGTGAAGCTGAAGTAGAAGTCAGAGTTGTCACATCCGATATTGCCAATAACGAAAAGAGCTTTGCTGATGAATAAGCTACTAGAAATTCACAACACGAAACATGGGTTAGAAAGGATGCTGAACATGTTGATTAAATCGATGCCATTGACGAAGCCTCAAAGATTGTTTAACATTTGTAAGCAGGTGTTGCATTTGCTCAACTCAAGAGCAGATTCGAGAAAGTCTAAGCCAAATTGATGGAAAGCAAACATGCTCTCTTCAAGGTATTAAATAAACTATATCAATAGCCACTCATCAACGCCTTGACACAATTGGCCTCAAAGGTCGACAACAAGAGCATCATCAAGATCTTGGAACTCTTGGCTCAAATCAGATAACAATTGGTTGCCAGCAGAGCTTCCCTCCTTGCAACAGAAGAGAAATAAGCTGCCAACTGGGAAGTCTAAAGTGGTCACTTGACAGAGGAACACAAGAGATTAGTTGAGAGAAAGGCTTTCTTAGAGAACTCAATTGTTCAATTCAAAGTCACCATCCAAGAGGCTGTTGAAGATTTGGAAGACTAAACTGTAACCTTTACGATTAATCCCCTCTTAGTTATTCCTTGAAGATGCTGAAGATTCATTGGCCATTTAAGAGAGATGGGCTGCCGAATAAGAAGCTTAATACGAAGCTTAAACTTTTGAAAGAGAATAATAATTGGAAGTCGTCGAAAGATTATAAGAAGTCCTTACTTAGAAGGTGAGTGCTGCCTCCGAATTCCTTTAAATCAGAGAAGAGGTCTTTTGATTAATGAATTATCAGAAATATTAATATCAATATATAATAATTCATTTCAGCGTAAATTATCTGTTAATAATTTAATTTAAAATAAATGGAGAACATCCAAGTTGTGGTCAGAATCAGGCCTTCCAATGGCGCTGAAAGAGACAATAATGATTTGGAAATCTGGTCAGTTCAGAACCAAGACACGATTACAATTTCAAATGATAGATTCAATGATTTAGTAAGAATGAGGAAGTTCGTCCCTGGATAGAGAGTGGAATTTACATTTAGTAAAGCCTTTTTAATCAATAATGAATAGACTAATGTTTTGATTCCAAACACACCACCAAATTTATTTATTAATAATAAATTTAGAGGATTACTCTATCATCTTTGTAAGGCATTAATGGCACCGTATTCATGTACGGTTAGACTGGGAGTGGTAAAACATACACTATGATGGGTTACGATTAGGAGGAAGGCATTCTAAAACAAGGATTGAAGGATTTGTTTGGAGAAATAGCAAAGCAATCTGATAGATAATATTTCTTAAGGTGTAGTTATGTTGAAATCTATACTGATTAAGTCTATGACTTATTGGCTACTCAAGAGAGATTGAGTGAAACTTTACTGATCAATGAGGATTACAATAAAGAGTTTGTAATCAAAGGAGCAATCGAGGAAGTAGTGACCAACATTAATGAAATCATGGACATCCTCTAATTTGGAGAAAGCAACAGGCATTATGCTTCAACAGTGATGAACCATTGCAGTAGTCGATCTCACACGATTTTTAGATTGTATGTCAGATGTGTTCCCAATTACATTGGACCTAATTCAGTAATTACAGAGTCAATTCTGAATTTTGTGGATTTGGCAGGATCTGAAAAGATCAATATCCATGATTCAATGCTTAAGAAGAGAGGCACATCAGCTGGTGGGAATGGAGGAACCCAATACAAGGATAGATAGAATGAATCAAAACATATTAATAAGAGTCTATTCTTTTTAACTTAAGTCATTTCATTGAGAGCCCAGGATAAAAAGTAATCATCCAATTGATATCGTTTTAGCGATCAACATATTCCCTATAGAAATTCACCCCTAACCAAAATATTGCGATCTTCTTTGGGGGGTAATTCCAGAACTGCTATCATTCTTTGTGTTAATCCATGTTATAGTTAATTTGAATAGACATTATCCACTTTGAGATTTGGTACAAATGCTAAGAAGATTGAAAATAATGTGTCTAAGAACATTGTTGGATTCGATAATGACGAGAGTCTCAATAGAGTAATTAAGGATTATGAAATCAAAATTAATGAACTACAAAGAGCTAGAGTTGATGATAAGTAATAACAAGAGATGATGTTGAAGATTATTGAGAAGCTAGAAGAATAAAGGAAGATATTTAGATAATAGTTTACAGCCTCTGATCATATTCAAGCTATGATTAATAAGGAACTCAATTATCAATGGACTCATTTGCATTATCATGGAGTTGGGGTTTTATGGGTGCCTGAAAAAGGAACCAAGGAAATGGAAGTCAAACAAGATGTAATAGATTCTTTTGGAACTATTAAAAAATATTAGAGATTATAAGAAGAGTTATTTATTTTAAAATCAGAAAAACAAAGTTTGGAAAATTAGGTTATGGATTTAAAGTAGAAACAATAAGAGACAGTAGTTTAAACAAAAAAGAGATATGCTAATTAAAAAGCAAAGACGAGGAAATATAAGTAATTAAGCAAGGATTTATAAGATGAAAAAAACAAATTGTAGAAAATAGCTCTTTGCTATCACAATATGATAGAAATGGATGAAATGATGTTGTTGAACAATGATACTTTAGATCAAATGACTGAAAATTTACAGATTTTGATGCAGAACATTTATAAAGTGAAGTTAAGAAAGGAAACCAAATCGAAGGGGGAGAACTCTGAAACACTAAAATTAGTAACCTCGTAACCAATTAAGTATCCTAAGTATCTATTTGATACATCTGCGGTTAACGTTTTATTTTGGGATGTTGCTGATAACAAGACAACTGAAGAGTAGAATAAAAGCGAAATTGAGTCATTTTAGAGTTACTTTTAATCTCAACTAAACATGAGCAGTCCATCTTATATAGAATTGTAGGCAAGTAGTTAATAAATTAAGGAACCTTTGAAACACATTTGTTCTCATGAGAAGAGTAGTTAGAGTAGGATTGGGAAAGAGAATTACGAGCCATTCTTAAAAAGAAATTTGAGCATGGAAGTGTCTGATGAATTAAATTTTCGTAGTTACTTTAGGTGAACGATGATTATTATACTATATATATAAATTAAAAATGAGTGATGAGTTTCCTGTGCCTAAACCCATACAGAGAGTAGAGGGGAATGTGTTACCTGAGGAGGAATACTTGAGAAGATTGGAAATCATAATCAAGAGAGACTACTATCCTGAATTGTATAAACTAGACAAAATGAGAAACGAGGATGGGTAGTATTTTTAAATAATCAGAAATTAGAAACCCAGATGAAAATATGTCATTGAGCAAATTTCTCAGTACCTACACTTCTGATGAAAATGTCACCTTAAATCAAATTATCAAGAAGGGTGATGATTAATGGTACTAAAAACATGCATGGATGTTTTAAGTGGAAGAATAACACAGACTTAAATAAGCAGCACTTCAATCTGATAAATTATAGCACATGATTGAAGGCAACAGAGAAAACAACCTCCAATTAAATGAATACAAGGCTTTGAATCCTTTGTATTTTAGAATGGACCCCAGAAATGAAAGGTAAGAATACATGCTATTTAGACTACAACCAGCAATCTAAGAACTCAAAGAAACTGACAACTCTTTGAATTTGCAAAAAGTCGAAATTCAAAATACGAGATTTTCTGATCATCATATACCCTTAGACTTTGCAATCGATCAAATAGACTAAAAGCTTCAAAAGAGAAAACTTCAAGAATGCTTAAATGCATAGGGTGTTAATGTATTCTATGGAAGCACTCCAAATTTGGTTGGAGCCCAAAGATTTGAAGATGATGACATGCTTGGTCTCTTCTCGCCTGCTCCTCAAAACATGAAAACTCCCTTGATGACTTGGGGAGAATTAGGTGAAACTCCTGTATAACTGGATAGATCATACATGATTCCTCCAAGTTCTTAAAGAGATAAGGTAGGGTAGAATCTAACATAATAATTAAATGTCAAGAAGAGGAATGAATAGAAGCAATAATAAGAGTACAATTTTTACTTCATTTTTTAGATTGCTAAAAAGAAGATTGAGTTCCATAACGCCTTATAGAGTGGGCAGCTCAATTTCCTCTAGAGTTAGTTCAGAAATGATCAAGAACTTCCTTGATAGGAGAGGTTCTACCAACCATTTCACTCCCTTGGGTCCGAAGAGCAAGAACATTAAAAAACCATAATGAAATATTAATATGATTTATCTTTGATAACTATAATTCAATTTGAAATGTAATCTAAATATTTATAAAATAACATATACTCTACTAATACATATAATCAAATTGAGTAACCCAGGATGCAATAGTAGACTTTAATGGTATTCTCTTTATCAGAATATTTTATCATTAATTAAGTAGCTACCTTAACCAAGAAATCATTTAATCATGGAATACAATTTCAGGTTTAAAAATAATTTCTTTAATGAGTTGATATCTGAATCATTTAAGAAGTATCCAATAATCTTAACTAATAAATCGATTGCGATAGACAAGTGAGTAAAATGCTACGCTTCTTTATTATATATGGCCTAAATTTGTATTAGTAAATTAGCTTTTATGTGGTCTCTTTTATAATTTGTTATTTTGCTTTCTGCCATACTCAAAACATTTCAAAAATAATTTTATTAAATAGATTTATTGCATACAATAAATTAATTATAAATGGCACACTCATCAACAAGTGGATCATCGAATTTCTTATATGACTTTTTAGGAGGTGGTGTTTCTGGAGCTATAGCAAAAACAATTGCAGCCCCAATCGAAAGAGTGAAATTGTTGCTATCCACTGATCCTACTAGAATTACAACACCTTATACAAGCAATTAGATATTTAGACTATGATTAGGAATTTTGGATTGGTTCAAGCGAGTGTTTGTATATGAGGGTGTTCTTTCATTTTGGAGAGGAAATTTGGCTAATCTCATCAGAAACTTCCCAACATAGGCCATTAATTTTTCTATGAATGATGCTCTTAAAAGATAATTCTTAGCTGGTGTTGATCCCCAAAAAAGACCAGGCAGGTATTCAATAAAAGTAAATAGATTCTTTGCTGGTTCATTGTTAAGTGGTGGTTTTGCAGGATGTATTGGATTATTAATTTTGTATCCTCTTGATTTCAGCAGAACAAGATTAGCAGCAGATATCAGAAAGGGAGCAAACGAAAGACAATTCAAAGGATTGATGGACTGCTTGGGTTAAATTATCAAAACCGAAGGCTTCACTGTAATCTATTAAGGATTTGGCATCTCTCTATTGTCTGTTTTTGTTTATAGAGCTTTATACTTTGGGTAATCTAAATTTATTATCCTTTTAGCGGTTACGATGCTGGTAAAATAGCCATTTGGGGAGATGATACTACTTAAAGAAATTCATCCATGTTTGCCAGATTAATCTTTGCTAAATTTGTAGTATCAACATCTGAAATACTTGCATCTCCACTTGATACCGTAAGAAGGATGTTGATGATTCAAGCTGGACAAAAAACTAACGTTGAATACTCAGTAATCTCCATATTTAGAAATTTAGGGAGCCATAGACTGTTTTGCAAAAATCTTATCGAATAGAGGCCCAACAGTATTCTATAGACATCTATCATATAATTGGAAATATATTAGTCCATCTTTAGTGTTAGTTCTTTATGACGAATTCAAAAAATTAGTAGCAAAAGATGGAAAACATTGATTCATTTAATAGCAATGATTACATTATTTTTTATAACTATGTAATAGTACATGGAGAAGGCATCGTAAGTCATTCCTAAAATTCTCCCTACTTATTGTAATATAAGTTTGTTTAACCACGCCTAATAATTTTTACCCTGAATATATGGAGGTGAGAAATGAAAATTATTTTAATATTGGCCTAACAGTTTGGTGATTAAGTATCTCTTCTTTTGCTAGAATATTTAAAGGATAATTATAGAAGGATCAGAATTTTATTTATATATGTTTAATATACTGAAATATAAAGTTGTTATCAAAAGGTAAATAAAAGTGTAAAATAAATATCAAAAGATTTTGTAACATGTTGAAACAAAAATAAGACAGTATTTTAAAGAATTGCATGATGTATTTGTCTGACGTTGCTATATAGTTAAAATTAGACCTAAAAATATTTCAATTTTCAACCCCTAAATAATAGAATAGCAATGGAATAATAACAGATGCACTTTTATATTAAATTATGCACTATTTAGTCGTAATATTATTTAAAATTCGGAAAAAAATTATATATCAATGTATAAGATAGCCTTACTCCTTTTTAAATTTCATTTCGGAAGAAAAGCATAAAGAATATTACTCTTTAATATAGTTTAATTTCCTAAAATATTATTTTCGTAATATTCAATTTATTCAATGCATTACTAAATAAGATCTCAATTAAACTAAAAGCATATAATATATTCGATTGATTGAGAATAATTCAGTATTGATTTAGTTGAAGTATTGAAACCTTTTTGCTAAAATATCAGATTCACAAAATTAGAAATAAACTCTTGAATTGTTAATACTATGACTTGAATTGGGAGCAATTTGGATAAAATAAGCCTCCGATATATGTACTTCCCATAGATTTAAACTTTCTTATGAATTGGTATTTTTCTCTATCGAAAAAATTTTTTTTTTTTTTGGTATTTTTCTCTATCTTTTGGTTTAATAAGAGAAGTTCTTCTTTCTTTTATTCCTTTCATAAAATACTAATTGGATTTACTTTAGAAGTTGAATTTTAACAAAGTGAGATTTTATTTCTTTTTGACTATAGTTAGTTGAGGTTCTTTGATTAACAGTAAACATAGTCTTGTGTATAGTTTTATATATTTTGGTTCAATTTCTAAATGATTTTTTATGTCAATTACTCCTAATAATTAAAGTCATATACTAATATACTATTATTAAATGCAAAATATAATACTTTTCAATTTCAAGTCTTAATAATTTTAAGTAACCGTGTCTAAATGCGGGTGCTAATTAACCTAATCTGTATCTAAGCTACTTATAAAATGATATCTCTCTATTCAGTAGTCTGATTTATTTTCTTTATGATCTAAGTTTATTTTTTTTAGTATTAAAGTGTTTACTATCTTTAATAGATATCACGCTTGCAAATTAAAATAGTCGCCGAAATACTAAATAATAGTTTCTTAATTACAATAATAGATTCAACTAATCATTGAAGAAATGTGTTTTAGGAAATAAGTTTCGAGGTCATAATAGACATTAATCTCTTTAGTTGTGTTTAAATATTTATAATGTTTAATCATTTATTTTCTTTAATTATTCAAATTAATTTTTTGATAATTCTGATTTCTTTAATATAAAAATGAAATAAGTAAGTTTAAGAATCGAGGGTGTATATCCTTAGTATTAATTTTGAATATCATAAATTGGTTGTACTTGATGAGTATATCAGTTGATATATAATATGCATTGAAATTAATTAAAGATCAATTAAAATCCACGCTTTAATTTTATTAATTTATCATTCTTTATTCATTTATGTTTGACCAGAATAAAATATTTCTCATATTGTTGTTCACTTTACAATGATCATTCTCAAAATTTTCATCTTCTGAGTTATGTGAATTTTATGAATTAGATGACCCAAAAATTTAATAGAATCAACCAACTTGAAATATTCAAATAATTACTCCAAAAATCATTATTTCTAAGCAAAAGATGATGTTGGCAAATCATTATAGAAATTTTGAGAATTGCAAAGAGATTTAGCAATTTTTCAAAGCATAAAATGAATCGGATTAGATTTTAAATCATGTGAATAGAAGAATCATAAGAGTCATAAGAAGAGTATGAATGATAGGGATTAGAAGTACTCCTGATAATTAAAATATAATTATTAAATGATAGTAGATGAAGACTTATTAAATGATTAACAATTGTGTATAATAATAATTATTCAAAAATATATTATAATTCCGACAAAATTTTTAATGCAAAAATGAAGTTAGACAATATAGAATATCTTGGATATTATTATAAAATGATGAGTACATATTTATATAGTTTAAATAGTCGTATGTTAGATGTTCAAACATCTGAGGGATATTATTCAAATTATATTATTTAAAGCCCAGAGAATTGGGGTACACAGGATTGTCTTCTTTGTCTGGGACTCCTTGGACTTGTGTTTATTACCGATTATTGGGGGATGTTAATAATAGTTCCAATCTTATCGGGACTATATTCTTTTTGGTAATTTTGAAACACCCATTAGACAATGGTTTCAACTGTTAAGCTGTGCATAACCTTTGCAACAAGATAAATTATCAACACGATTGAAATAACTCCCAATAAAGTAATAGCTGCCGCTAAGCCGACATTGGAAAAGCCAACCAAGACTCCCAATATAACAGCTCCAGCTATCTATAATAAAATTATAAAGATTAATATCAGCCAACAGGCTTTTTAATGTTTAGGCACTTCTTAAAATATTGATGAGTGTACTTCTTCTTGAAATTGAACCTTCATAGATATCTTATGTTAGCAAACTTCACATTTAATCTGATACATTATAATAATAATTTGCTTACATCATTTTTATAAACCTTTTCAACTCCATTCTTTAAGAGAATCCAATTTTTAAGGCACTCCTCGTGCACATATTTTGCTGTTCCACTACACATACATGGATATACGAATCTTGATGTTTCCTCCTCCATCGAGCAAATACGACACTACTCTAAACAAGTATTTTAATTTTCATACTTCCTTTTTTTGACCTAGCCAATTAGATTGGATCCATTTCATTCACATATATATTACACCATACCATCTTCTTCCTCTCATTATCCTAAATTGTGAGTTAGTAATAAGGGATACTTTCATTTTATAAGTTTTCTTGATTCCTTTTTTATAAGCATCCCTTCTAGGAGAAAGATAGAGACTTTGAAGAGTGGGAGGAAGACATTCTTCAGGAATTAATTATTAAGATTGGTTTAACTTCGAGAATTTTTGAGGTGGTGATTAACCAGCTGTTCTAGCCTCAGAAATGTTCATTTACCTGTATATTATTATTTTAAATTCCCTATACTAACTACGTATGAATTTATTTATTATAATCTGCTAAAATCTTAATTTAATTTATTGTAAATGGAATATTGCACATTGTCTACACTATTCCCAAAATGTCAATGTGCACTCCAAATCAGGATACCACAAAATGATCTACCTCATAGCATCATAGCAAATCTTAATCCAAATTAATTTTTTCATTATTCCATCTTTATCGATGTCTATGTTTTTTAAAATGCATCGAATTATAATTTTTGTTTAAATATATCTCAAATTAATATAAAATTAATATTTTTTTCTTTATTACTGATTAATATAGATTCTGCATTTCCATCGGAAATTAATAGGAATTTTTATTATAATAATAATTATTTTGGCCTTCCCTATTCAAGTATCCAAGCAAATCCATTCTCAATTTAAATTTCTAGACCATCTCTAACCAAATACAAAAAGTAAGCAAAATCTCATCAAAAAAACACCAAAAAATATTCCAGAAAAGGGCCAAATTTTAAAGTGGTTGATATATTAATTAATCCATTTGCTTTGAGATATCAATGTACAAGAGCATATTAATAAACCATGTTTTATACTTTAAGAACCTTGGATTGCCCTGAGACCAAATGAAAAAAAAACATTAATTATTTAACACATATTATTAAAATAATGTAATTAAACTTTGATAAATCCTAGATGCATAAAAGTCCAGAATAAGTATCTATGATAAATTCATTAGTTAAGAAGGGAAAAATTAGACATCAAAATAAGGACAATCAAGGATGATTTAGCTCCAGGAGTTGTTAAGTATATGATGAAGACCAAGAATGATGAGAAATTATAGGCTCCTCTTCACAAAGTTGAATATCATCAACCACAAACTAAACCATAACCAACCTACTTAAATACTTTCGAGAAGATAGATTTAGAGCCTCCAGTATAATTGGATGAAATAAGAGAAGAAAAATGGAGCATTTTATCAAAAAATTGTAGGAACATCTTAGAAAAATCCAGAATTAGTTTGGGAAAACCAAATAATTCTCATATTCTAAGACAATCCTCAAGTGAACTCTTTCCAAATCCTCAAAAACTAAAAAAAAATAATACTAAGTTTTTGACTCGAAGATAGTCAATAGACCTAAGAATTGAAGATATTAAATCTCAATAATAATCCCCTATAGGAACTACACCAAAAACAATTGGAATTAAAATGGATCCTTTCTATATGAGATTCAAAAAGTATTATAAAAAAATTGGTATCCCTTAGGATGAATAACTCAATCATCAAAGGAGCAATCTTCAGAAAAATTCGTATTCTTAAGATAAGACTAGTAAAATCAACTCTCCACAAAGATAGAATTAGAGTTTTATTTTATTTCCATTAGTTTAATGTTCTCCACAGGCTTAGCAAAAATCTGGGATTTAGAAGAAAAAGAGTTAATAATAGTATCTGTAGGATATCTTGGCTTTGTGTAATAAGGCTTAGAATTTTCAGGCTGAGATGAAAAAAGATGAAACTGAAAATTATGGTGAATTAAATCAAAAAGTAGAGTTCATTAGATCAGAATTCAATAAATATCATAGTATGATCAATCATGATTAGGATTCAACAGATAATGTTGATAATAAATGATATATATAACATTAATCAACATAATTATTAGATCATTCCAACTCTTGCATCATATCTTAACGAATTTGCACTTCCATATTTTACTTATTTTTATCTTACAATTTGAAGATCTTTTCAATAACTGTGATTTCTGTGGATGTTGTATCCAAACCTATGAAGTTTATATTCAATATGTACCACAAAAAGCAGCAATGTCATTAACAACAAGACCAGAGGCTATGATATCACTACCTCTGTTCACAGTACCAGCACACAATGGTATTTGCAATAAATTGGCTAATTCATCTAATTCTTCTACTGTTGTCAAGGGGTGCACCAATCCTCCTTGATTATTAAAGCAACAATAAGTTCCAACCAAAACCTATTAAGCCACAGTTGTTCTGAACACTTCAACTCCCAAAGTATCAGCAATGATTTCCTCTGTCTCTTTGTCCAAGTCAGAATGTATCAAAGCAACATAATCATTACAAGCCACGCTAATTACCTAAAGCAGATAATTTCTCTTCGACTCTTTTAACCTATAATATTAATTTACATATTTACATTTAACTTCATCTGGTAATGAATTTCTAATTTACTTGAGTTCTTAGTCAGTGCATGTATTTGGTACCAATAATCCATTTTTATTTCCTGTTTTCATTTAAAAAATATACGATACCTGCAGTCAATCTTCCGATAATTCTGGTACCTCCAATTGAACAATGGATGACTGGCATACTTAATCCAAGTTCAGATTCAAACACTGAGTAGAAATTTTCACTTCCTCCAAGTGCAACAAGACAATATGAGTTTGTAAGTTTAGAAAAAACACCAATATCATTGGAGTTTTCAAATTAACATCTATTTGCCATGAATGAGTTTTATAAAATTCTTTATTAAATTAATAATCCAAAAATCAGAACTAATTATTTCTTTTTATAATAACTTTCTTATTAATAAACTTGTCTGACTTATTATCAATCAATCGGAATATGAATAGTGTATTCAAACAAGTCATAAGAATGAATGCTCAAATTATCATATAAACAATCTACTTACACATGCATTCACTAAATGTATGGGTACGTTTGAGTACTGTTTTAATGAAGTGGAAGTACATTCTCTCTATCTATCATAGCAAGGAGAAAGTTAATTTTACACAAAATTATTTTCAAAAATATACTAGAATAAATATTTGCAACTTCCATTTTTTGCGATTATTGAAATTTCAATATAGCGTCTGTTGAAATGAAGTAAGTTGTAAGGAAAATGAATTATTTTTTTATTAAGAGGAAAATTACTTACTTTGGTATTCATTAGGTAGAATCGAAAATTTCAGTACAAGTATGTGAATAATAATTCTAAATTAGTTATATTTTTATAATATTTATATGGTGAACTAACCCCCTCAAGAAATTAAATAGAAACGAAAGCCTTGGATAATCCAAGTATTTTTGTAAAAATATCAAAAGGAAGACTAGCTTTTTAAGGAAATTAGTGAAAAAATTCCAAAACGATAGGCTAGCTTGGAAAATAATTTCAAAGCATCTAAAATAGCATGGATTTAATAGGGACACTAAAGCATGTAGAGAGAGGTTTTCAAATCATCTAGACAGCGCCTATAATAAGGCTGATCTAACTGAAAAAGAAATAGATTTACTCTTTGATTTAATTGAAGTACATGGTAATAAATGGGTAAATATTTTTATCAAACCATAGACAATAATTGCTGGATAGTTGAACAATAGAACTGATTAGGACATAAAGAATAAATTTTATGCTCATGTTAAGAAAATAATTCGCAGATTGATTAAAGCTGCATATTAAACTACAGAAAGTATTTATTTTTTGATTACACAGGTTCCCTAATAATTGCCAGAATACAGCCACTCTTAATTTCTAGTATATATTGTCATGATGAGGAAGAAAATGATAAAATTTTAAAAATAGATGAAGAGATGAAGACTCTGTTTAAATAGTTAATACGAAGCAACAAAAATATCGAAGTTGGTGTTAAAGTTGATCATCAAACGATAGAATAAGTGAAATTAATAATGAACTACCTTGGAGAGCAAAAGTAATTTGATCTCATTATTCTAGCGATATTTATTTAAAGAGAAAGATTAGTAAATAGGCAGAGAAGGCTAAGCTTAAGAAATTAAAACAAAGGAGGTCTCTTAAACTATCATAAGACTTAAAAAGACAATAAAAAATAATCGAGAATATTAAATAGAAGAAACCCATTTTTACAACAAATAAAATCAAACTAGAAAATATTAAATTCACTTATCCTCAGGAGCAACAAGAAGACAAAAATTAGTTTTATTAAAATCCTAATGAACCAATAGACAAGTATTTTACAATTTCACCATACTTAAGTCATTTTTCAGGTACTTTTTATTGGAGACATTCTTCTAATATCATTTCAATTGAACCAATATTCACAAATGTAAAGATCATCAATATATATAGAATTTTTTATGTGGAATTTAAGCCAACTAAAATCAGCGTCTGATATGGTCTGAGAATTATAGAATCACCTCTGAATGATCAAATTTTTTTATGTTATTTATAATGCTTCTTTTAATATTCATTCACACAATCATTATTACACAATTAAAAGTCAATTATAAAAAAAATTGAAACGTTTATCATTCATAGCCATTTAAGGACTTTTGAAAGAGTGAAAACTCTTTTCACTTGGTATGAAACTAGGATGGACAGTCAACTGATGAGGATTCTTTTTCTGGGACAATCCTCTACTAGATTCAAAACTATAGGAGGATTGTCTTTCTTTCGATAAAGTAGGATGTCTTTCCTTTGAATGAGTAGTAGTGTGTCTGTCATTTTTAGTTAATATTTTTTCAACTTTGAAAAACTAGGGTTCTCTCGATTTGGCTTAGGCATTGGTAGTAGTAAAGTAGGAAGGCTTAGGGATGATAGCCTATTGATAGAATAGATGTATACCTTATTGGTGCTGGGTTTGGAATAATTTTTTAGATGCGAGAAATCAAAGCAAAATTATTATTTGATTTAACTAGTAGGAGTAATGAAGGACATATTTTTAGTAATTGTATTAAGATCTTCAATTAGATCTTAAGGTAGTTTATGTTTCTTTTTGACGTCCTCTTTTTCATCACTTAAGTCATTTTTCTTAAACCAAGGGTAATTGAGTAATTCAATTACAGTGGGTCTTTCATCAGGATCAGTTGTGAGCATTCCATAGAGTAATGCGATGGCTTCTTTGGATATGTCATGAGTGATAGTGAATTCTCCTGATTAAATCTTAGAATAGAGTTCTGCATCGGTATCTCCTTTGAAGGGGAAGACTCCTTGTAACATAGTGAAGAGGACGACTCCTAAGGCCCAAACATCTGATTTATCACCTCGATACTCTTACCTGGTGACGATTTCTGGAGCCATATAACTAGGGGTACCACAGAACATTTTGACTTTCTTGTCGATGGGAAAGGAAGTGGAGAAGCCAAAATCTATGAGTTTGGGTGTTTAGGCTTCTAGTAGAATGTTTTCTAATTTGAGATCTCTGTGAGCAATGTTTTTGGAGTGACAATATTAAACAGCATCAAGGATCTATTTAAATATAGTTTTAGCAGTGTCTTCATCGAGTCTGCGTTCCTAATGAGATTGATATAAAGAGTATACCTATTATTTTCGAATGAAATGGTGGAGTGAACTTCCACTCACATATTCTATAATAATATTGACATGATTATTGGATTCCAAGGTGTCGATGATCTTGACAATATTTGGATGATCCAACTTTTCAAGAATTTCGATTTCTCTACGCACTCCTTTGCGACGCTATAAATCGCGTATTTTAGATTTCTCGTATATTTTGATAGCCACCTTAGTGCCAGTTTCAATTTAAATAGCCACTCTGACAGAGGCATAAGCTCCTTGGCCGATGCGACTCCCAACCTTATATTGAGCTTTAAAGATCTCAGTTTTATTGATATCATCGTCAGGTTAATTACTAAGAAACTTAACTCTGTCACAGATATTCTGTTATTTTTTGAAGTCGAATTTGAAGTATTCAACATTATCACGTTTTTCAACTTTACAAATTTTGGATTATAGAATCTAACTGATGGCATCAAGATTTCTGAGTTGTTAATTCTTTAAGCTCATCAGTAAATCTTATTACAAAGGAGGTCTTGACTTGTATGAATATTGATTGCCTATGCATTTTTCATTCTCCTTCTGATTCAGACTATTCGCAGCTGCTCTATGCTTCATTGGAATTTAAAATAATTAACAGTCTCAATATTATTATATAATGAATAGATATACTACACTCACAATAATCGTAGTTAGTTGTTACCCTTGTTGGTCTAGAATAGACTCCTAGTATCCTCATATATCGCCCAAAGGAATCTGATGTGACATCTGGATTTGAAGCACTCTAATCTGATAACCCAGATGGACAATTGCTATTAGACAGTGTTCCTTGAAGTATTCAATCCATTATATGGCAGGGTCTTTGCCAAAGAGAAAATTGGGGGTTCACATCTCTACCAAAACTTGACTAATTGTCTCAAATCAACATTCAAGTAACCTTGTCTTTAAGTAGAGGAATTATTGCAATATACCAAATGGGATGAAGAAAAATGTTCTTCTACTTCCAAATCATTACGGATTATTAATAGTATTAAGAAGTATCACCTTAACTTACTAAATAAACAAGCTATTTGACAGAGAACGGTCTTAGTATCAATAAATGTCTTTCATATAAGCAGACTGTCAATTTCAAGCTAAAGAACAAATGTCTAATCAGATGAGACGACTTAAGTTTGAAGAAATCAGCGTTGAAAGCTAATGATCTTATAGAACTTACAGTAACCCAAGACATACAAGATCACATTATAAGTAAGGGTCCTGTTGTCATGGATTTGAAATATATCACGATTGTGTACTATTATAAGGATGGTTCAAGTCTAAATGAATACTCAAGGGGACTTATACAATAAAGAAGAATGACCAGAACTTTGGCATAAGGTTTCTTATGATTATGGGTTGGCATACAGAAATGGATAGCAAGATAATATAAGAATAATTGAATTCATTTGGCAATCAATACTTAGTAGATGGCAAGTCAATGAAGGAGAGAAAATCCAATACATATTGGGGTACTTTGGATTTGATGTCTGAATTAATAAATTATGAAATAATTAAATAATAAATACAAACAACAACTCTTGCCATTAAAATTGACAAACCATGTCAATCCATAATTTAAGGTGAATCCATATTAAAACTCGTTTTCGCCTGTGACTCTCAGAAAACCACTCTTCAGTTTACATGAAAAGAATTCTGCTAGATCCATAAAAAAGTAGTAACATCATTCTCCTCCTATCACCCAGAAAAACACCCTGCAGATTGAAAAATATGGTTTGGACTCGAATTTTGAATATATCCTCAAATTTGCAGTGAGAACAAGACAAGGAATGTAAATAGGGAATCCAAATAAATAGAATTAGGATTCGTTCATAGTGTTTCCAAACATAGGAAATAAATCGTATATGCACTTCTTTTTCATTTGTGATGGTCATGGCATTCATGGACACCATATCTCAAATTTCCTCAAATAGTAATTCCCCATTTACATCACTAAATTCAAGAATCAATTGGAAAACAAGTATCCATTACAATAACTTAAACTAGTCCATATGCCACCATATATACGATATTCGCTCTAGTAATCAAAGCCTTGGATCAATCATCTATCGATTAGTCATACTCTGGGTCAACTGTGGTTGGTTTATTTATGTTGCATAATAAAGTATTGAAAACAATTTAAAAGAGATTTATTGTCCAAACTTAGGGGATTCGCGAGCAGTTATGTTGAGTCGAACTAATAAATGGTTTCTCAAAAATCTATCGCGAGATCATAAACCAGATTGCCAAGATGAGGCAGAACGTATAGTGAATCAGGGAGGAAGGATTGAACCTTATAAGGATTAGAATGGGTAGACCTGTGGGCCATTGAGAGTTTGGAATAATGGCAATGTACCAGGGTTGGCTATGACAAGGTCTATTGGGGATCAAGTGGCTAAAGCAGTGGGAGTAATTGACAAACCAGAGATCTTCAATTTCATACTTGAGAAAATGGATAGGGTTATCCTGTTAGGATCGGATGGAGTGTTTGAGTTTCTTTCTTAATAAGACATTCTGGATTCTGTTACTCCGTATGTTGACAGAATGGATGTTGAAACTGCTTGCAATCACTTGTTGGAAATGGCTCACGTTAGTTGGGTACAGAAGGGAAATAAGGTGATCGATGATATTACTTTTATATTGATTTTTATGTAATATTGAATGAGTTGGGTTTCACATAAATTAAATGTAATAATTTTGTTTTCAAATATCTGAACAAATACTTATACCTTCTATAGTTTTTCTTGCTCTTATTACTCTCATATTTATAAGGAATCTTATCTAAATTTATAACTTAAGGAATTGGAACCCAATTTAGGAATTGTCACCCCTTTTGACGATATTCCAAGGATTGTCACTTTATCTATTTATAGTCATAACCATATTTGTGATAGTTTACGATGAAAAGTACAATTTTCATATCATTAAAATTCTGATGATCTTTTAGAACTTTTTTAGAGGACTCTTTGTATATATCACAGTATTCAAATCACTCAGAGTGGCACTTGCATTTCATTTGAATAGCAAGTCCTCATTCATCTTAACCTTCTTATGTACCAAACTATTTAAAGATTAGTTGCGTATTTTATTTGCAGCACTCTTCATGACATCTGCATTGTGGTCAGGAATTTATTACATCGTAAAACTTTATATTAGCGATATATCCCACACAGAGTAACACTATATTAATGATCTCATTCAATACGAAGAGATCAACCTAGTGGAAGCAATTAATAATACAATAGAAATCACTTTATTTATGTTGATCATATATTGGAATTCAAAAATCCATATACCACAATTTGATACACTTCAAAGATTTGTCAATAAGCCAATAATTATCTATGCTATATGGTTATACATTAATACTTTCATCAGTTATTTTATTAATGAGAAAGATTGCAAAATTTACAGTGGAACTACTAAATTTCCACTTTCGTTGATCATTATGCTCATCTCCTAAATTTCTAGAAGCATGGTTGAATTCTATTTCGTCATCTATGCTCCAATACAGTAGAGTACATTAATAAGATTGCCATTGATCCCATCTATCATTTTGGATAACTTTCAATTATTTATGAGAATCCCACTTTGTAGTACAATATTTTACAAATACTTACAGCAATTATCAGAGAGTACCATTTTCAATTCTTAGGAGAGATGTATGGAATACTCAGATGATTTATAGGTACTTTAGGTGTGGATGGCTTATCAGATGAAATTAGAAAACGGGATTGGAGATGAAGAGTTCACTCTAGTTTTGAGTTGGGATAAGTAATAGAACGAGACTCAGTTTGATACTAATTATTAATCATAAAATCAAGTTAGATTAGAAAAGCATTTGATGTAACTCTTCAAACAGTATTAGAACACATTATCATATTAAAGAATGAAGAAATTGTTTAATTGTCTTGATAATGCAACGAAGAATTTCTATTAAATGAATATAATCTAAAATTTTTTAAACTGAATTATTAATAAGCTAATTGATTAATTTGGATATATAAAATAATCAACTAAAGTGATAGCTCACCTCGGATGGACCTAAAAGTGAGTCATCCCTCCAAAGCGTTGTGATACCACTTAAACAAATGTTTACAACTAAATCATCTTGAAAGTCGCTTAGACAAAGAATGTCTCTCCAAATTCATCTCGAGACAAATTGTACGATTAGGTAAATTAACAAAGATAGCAACAGTATCGTATATTTTACCTTTTGATAATATATATATATATAATATAACCATATCATTAAATTAGAAATTAATTGATAATCATTAATATAAAGTTGTTTAATTGTACTTTTCAATTAACCCAGTTATGATTAACTTGTTTATTATGATTTAATAGCTAATTAATATAATAATGAAAAAAACTTAGGTGAATGGCTTTAGAGTGAATAATAGCTAATCAAAAATAAGGAAGGCAGGAGAGCTGTTAGCATCTTTGTAGTACAGTATCAAGTGTAAATCTTATACGCCACAACCCAGAACGATAAAATAAATGACTCCTTATCCATTAAGACCTCAGGTGAATTAAAATAGTAATCCTTTGGTTTAACCTCGAAATCCTTATAATCGCCAAACCAGTATAAATTGTCAACAAAGACCATCGCTGTTGTCAGTCATAACATCAGATAGTAATGTAAGTGCTGATGAGGAATACGAAATTTGGGATAATAATTAAGATTTGCGAGTAAAGAAAATGACAATGGAAGAATCGAAACCTTCTGTTGGATAATTTTTATAATTGTACAAAGCAAGATTTGGGTATGATTTATTGAAATGAAAGAGGTTTCCCAGGACAGTAGCAATACATAAAAAATGAGGAAGTCATCAAAGTCGCAGTTGGATACGCTTCGACTGACAGACAACTTTTTAAAAAATACTTCCCTTAGAAATAAATTGTGTTTGAAGATGACACTGATTATTCACAACCCTACAATATAGAGGATGATCACCATTTTCAGAGTTTCCATAGTTTTTTTTAAAATAAGAAGTCCAACACTCTTCTTAAAATAAACACCTCGCGTAATTGACTCATATTATACTTATTATAGATATATAATATTTCAAACTTTGTCAATTAGACTTTATATTTGTTCTGGTGTTCTTTAGGTATATCTTCTCTCTGCAGTTGTAATTACAGCCAATTCTACATTGGAATTATTGATCTAAGATATTATCACACATTCTTACTTTCTCTTCCATCACGTTCTTGAGACATAAGATGGCCAATCTCTCAGCTTACTCCAAGGTCAGATCCTGACTTAATATACGATCTTACTTATTTGTATTATTCTTTGAGAATGCTTTGGATTCCTTCGTCTGCTGCTCCAATTCCTTTGGCTTAGTATTCAATCATAGTACCAGTGGGATCTAGACTCATTCAATTCAATACCAGTTTAGTAAATTTGAGGGCCATGATCGGAAACACCAGCAATCAATAGCGCCACTCCATAAGGTCTTGACATTTTTGTTTTGCTTTTGGAATCACTCTCTCCAAAATCAAGAGCCTAATCGCAAACAATCTAAGTGAGTGCTCTAACATTGATGGGTTCACCATAATTGAATTTATGATTCTGAGATTCAACTCTGGCATGTTCAACTAAAGTTCTGGCATCAGGAATGAAACCAGAGGCGGTGCAAGCAATATGAGTGTCAATTTCATAGATCTTCTCAATACTCCTAGGCTCCAAAAGAGTTGAATTCAATTTTCTTTCTCCTGCCAATACCACTCCATCATTCACTTTTATGGCCAAAGCACTCGCTCCCAATTTGATTGCTTGCAATGCATATTCCACCTAGAATAGACGACCTTCTGGTGAGAATGTGTTCACTCCTCTGTCATAGTCTGTTCTATTGGAATTAATACACTTATGTACTTATTTTGAAACATTAATCCCAATCTGAATTATTTATTTAATATATTATAATCATCAATTACCACAATAAATGTAATTATTGCATATCTCAATGTATCTCTCACTCACATTTTGGTCCATGTTTTGAGTATTAATTAATAATCCATTCCAATGGAATTCAAACATTCAATATAATTTCTTATGTCTGATTCCCAAAAAATAGTTGGCATTGTATTCTCCAAACTAGAAAGCAAACGTTCTCATCCTACTTACATAGTTGAAACCAAGGCTGGCAATCTCATCTATAGACAAGCTGCCAATCTGCCCTCTGAATAAATTGAAAAATTTAACCTTATTTTCAGTAAGCAAATCGCAGATAAATTGTATCCCTCCCAAGACAAGAGACTATTCTACAAAGGCACTGAATTGGATCTCCCAGATGTCCAGTTTGATGATGATAGTGACGACGGCTCCAAGTCCACTAAATAACAATGTAATTGTCAATCAAAACAAACAACTAAATTCACTAAACAAACACCCAATGTCTAATCCTATCAACCATTGTAGCTTCCTTCCAAATCAACCATTAAACTCTCCTCCACTACCATCCTAACATACGAAAAGATTGATGGAGAATTTAAACAAGCTAGTAGAATTGATTGCAATCTCATTAAAGACATTAAAAATTGGGAACAAGCCAAGATCAGCAAGAAGAAACAAGTAATGCTCTGTATTTCCAACGATTCCTATGTGAAATTAGCTGATTTGAGATTCAAGAACCCCTCCCTGGTCCTTGATTATGTTTTGAATAACTGTATACTCGTTAAATGAATAACTATTAATCATTTTTATAATATGAAAAAGAAATTGAATATTCCTCTTAGGAACCTTTAGCCTGATACGTAATTCTTGATCTTATCTAATAGAGTGCCCTTTTCTGACGGAGATGGCTTGAAGCACTGGAGAAGCTTTCGTAATGCCATCAACACCATCAGGTTACTACAGAATCCTAAAACGAAGAGATTGAACTCTCCAGTAATTTCTTTATTTTAACCCAAGGACGAACTAACCATTAGTGGGTACAGACCTGATGTCCTAACAAAACCAAGATCAGATAGCAGTCGCAACTTTAATGATGCTTTAAAAAATATTCAAATGTAATAAGTTCTTTTCTCATTCATTGAAAAAGGCTTCCCACCCAATATAATAGAGGAAATATTAAATAAGGATCCGAAAAAGTAAGTAATTCACATTTATGAAGATATTTCTATGACCAAAAGAGCCAACACAGTTTAGTTAACAAAAAAAATTAGAAAGGCATAACACCCTTGTATGCAGCTGCTAAATTGGGTCATCTAGAAATATGTAAAATTTTGATCGAAAAAGGAGCTAACCCATAAATACCGGTAACTATCAATGGGATTGAAGAAACCCCATTGGAAGTTGCCTAAAGATGGAGGCATTTAAAAATTGTTCACTTTTTATAACAATAAAATTGATATTATATCATTTTAATAACATTAACTTTAATTCTTCAGTACCATATCTAAGACTCAAATGGTTAAAGTCATAAAAAATACACCCAATCAATGGATCATTTTGCAACACTAATTGAGTATTTATTAATTAATAAAATAATTTTATAATATGGAATCATAATGTTAAATTGATTATTATTCAAATATCAACCAGTCATATTAAGTTTTAGTTTTTGAATTTAAAATTTATTATATCGCAGGAGAGTTCTGAAAATAAATTGATTCACTCTGTTACATTCGATAAGCTCCGATTATAAAATTTAATTTAATGTTATACTTTATATTAATAGCAATAGCAGTGTCAAAAGATGCCAATCTAACAATAGGCTTAGATTTCTCAGACAACTCCTACCTGGACTTCTTTAGCAGTTTTTCAAAACATTACGATGAGTTTCATCAGAATGGATGTAACATTATAGATAATCATTTATCCTAGTGAAAGTGAATATTGTCCAACATCTCTTGCCTTGCTATAGTTGTTACAAGCGTCATCAATTCAAACAGCCCGAAAAAAATTGCTTGGGAGGAGGCAGATATTGCCGTATTATTATTTAACTTAAACATAGAGTATTCTGATTATGCATCAGGTTAAGTCATATTAAAAGAGCTATTGCGTCAATAATGTGTGTTGTAAGTACTACCTAATCATTATTTCAATTATACAATTTACTTTGGATAATAATGTAAGAAATCAACAATGGTTAACTGCGCTTAGACCTATTTTTCTAATAACAATATATCAACCGAAGGGATAGACACCTGTGTTGAGAATAGTTTTGAGGAAGGTGAGGAAGTGAATTAAGAAATTAGAACTAATAAAATATTGAATCAATACAAAGAATTGTAATATAATCAAACTTCTTTTTCTGTACATTTGGATTCTTCTGATATAACTAATACTCCATATGATGAATTCCTATCAACGATGTGCTCAAAATATATCAATATTTCGATATCGTTTTGCAAGAATATCGAAAAACCTAATAAGTAGACGGATAACGGGAATACTTTGGAGTAAGTGTTTTTATTTTTTTTTGCTTTGATTATCTTGATTCTAACAGCATCGGGTGGTTGGACATTGTTGAGCAAGATTCAATTCGGATCGAGTTTAGTTCCAAAAAGTAGAATAGCTATTCCTAAATTAGAGGGTGATCACATCATCTAGGAGGATGACATTTGATATTTGTTAATATTATCAATTATATATTGTTCATGAGTACTTCTCAATTAGTGGAGATTGGAATAATTTTTATGGAATTCATAAATTAAAATGATCAACTGTCAATAAAATAAACGATAAAATTGTTACAATTTCATCTTTAGATCTACTAAAGAACAGCGGTCTACTTCCATGAAAGTAGAGAGATTGAGGTAGATCACCGAGATTTGTGAAATCAAATAGAATTATTATAAAGGATTGGAATTGGGGAAGACCAGCGAAAATGCATTGAAAATTATTCATATGAAATTGGAGAGACAGAGACTGAGAAGGTAGTCATTTGAGATTAAAACTGAAATGGAAGATGAACATCTACCTCAAATTCAGTATCCGATTAAGCCTCCGATTCCTCAGAGGACAGTATTAAGCAATAAAGAAAATATTATTGAAATGCCACTTAATTAAGGAAAATAAAACTAGTTTTAAAAATTGTATTAAATGAAGCGAAGAAGAGCATCATAGAGAATGAAGATTAAAAAGAGTGAACCCACTATAGATTTCAGTCCTTGGGAGAACTAGGATAACCTTGATTTTGATTTTTATTGATAAGCATAGGAATGTTTTTATGTAACAATGTTGTCATAATAATTTAGTATTAGATAGTTTTTATTCATTCACTTTAATTATTTAAGTAGTTAAGGATTGAACTTTTTGGAATTGTCTGATTCTTTTAACAAATTTCTCAGATTTTGTATTAAGAATCGTATTTTACAAATCAGTGCTTCTTTTATAAAGATTATCAATATTGATTTCAAGCATAGAGTTGAATGAAGAATCTTCCTGCAAGCTCTCCTCTCTGGAATGAGATTGCATTTTATCGAAATTGGTTAAGTAATGTTTCTAGGTATTCTTTTGCACTCGGGCAGTCTTACACAAGAACTTATATTTTTGGTCCTTCTCCTATAGAATATCTTCATTTTTAGGTTTCATGAACATGTAAGCATAGAATTTCACATCTTTACTCAAGGGATCTGAGATATTATATCGATTAGGTTCAAATTAATGAAATTTTTAATTACCATTCTTTAGATCTCTAACTAGATTTCTTTTGGCCTTGAGCAGTAGATTCTTTTCTTGATTTTGGTTGTGTTCTAGAAATTCAGTTAATTTCGCATTCATTTTCTCCCTTTCCTTCTTTTTGGTTAAGTGAATTGTTTGTTGATCTGGTAAAGTCTTACTTCTCAAATTGTTATTAAATGAATTTTGACTCTCTTCAGTGTTTAGACGAATCCTCAAAGAGCCTTATGGATTCTTAGAGTACCTTATTTGATCATATTCTCTAATTCCATCAGCCTTTTCTGATAGTAGATTCTTCGATTTAATTTTATTAACATTCTTTTCACAAGTTTCAAATAAATGTCGAAATAGTTGAACATCTAGAAGTGAATCTTTTTTATTTTTTTATTACATCCTTTATTGAATCAAAGTTTGAATCTTATTAAATCTTTCCTAGATCTTAATTTTCCTTTAAAGTAGATCATCAGCCTATGATGAATTCTAGATCATAGATAATCTAACAGAGGATCTTTATTTTAATTAACTTCTAAATTTGTGCACATTTGAAAATAATTTTAATTAATCCATCTTATGTGATGTTGATGAACTTATGATATGATTACATTCATTTACTAAATTTAATGCTGTCTTTTAACCTTCCAAGTAGTCTCTAAAACTATGCTTTAACTATTCATTAAATAAAAAAGGATTCGGTTATTGCAGAGGACATTCATTTTCCAGAGGGTCTCTTGCAATTCTAATCTTAGATTTTCTTGGTGAATCTTTAGATCGTTATAAGTTCTCCCACAAAGATGCAGTCTCAGTAGTTTAATAAGTTGAAGGAGTACTATCTAGTGTTACTCTAATTTTGTATTAATTGTTTTTCATAAAAATTAATATATATAAGCATTTAGTTATATCATAATTTAAACTATCATTTCAGTGCATTGGTTATGGCCTAAGCTAATTTGACTAATTCGCTCACATAACTAATATAAAATCAAATCAATTACTTTGCTCCCAATAGACTTCTACTCGCCTAGGATGACTCAATCTTATTTCTCAAAGACACAATCTCATTCAACTGCACATTGTCACTCAAATTTCTTCTCTATTGAGACCTATAACTTGATTCAATAGGTCTGCTTTAATATGATTGTGATTATTATGATCGAGAACTTTGGTAATTGCTGTTGTTCCTACTCCCCAAAGAACTATTGATCCTTGAATTCTAGTAGTCAAAATTACTTCTTTTATAGACCCACCGCCTTTTGTGGTGAGTAAGTGATTGATTTATCACTTATCTGATTCCTTTGTTAAAACGATGAAGCCTGATTGAGTTTAGTGTATGAGAAATCCCTTATTTTTGCCTATAGGTTTTCGAATGATGGCACAGTCGGCAAACTCTCTTTTCTAAGATATTCGATTCGATTACCTATAAGAATAGAATGATTTCTGTGCAGAGTCTGTTTAATATTACAGAACTGGTACGCATCTGTCCTTGACTTAATTTCGAATGGATCTAATATCAAAATTGATGTCCAAAGTTCTTTGGGGTTACTCTAACCAGGATCTCTGCATTTTTTTATTTTAACGATTAATTTATTTTATTATATAATATATTAAAATAGTGTGGATAATATGTCATTTGGAACACTCTACTAACTTAAAAGTTCCCTCCAATTCTTAATACACTTTCATCTCATACACTTCATCATCGCTCAATTCTACTTCTAACTAAAGTGCATAATCAAACTGATCTCATACCCACCACATCACTCCTGCTACAATCTAGAAACCCACCTTGTCAACTCTAACCCAAGAGACATCAACTGATAAATGACACACTTGATGGAATTCATGTCTTGCCTTATCAATTGCTTTTTAATAATCTTCATCATTGTGGAAGCTGTCTGGGGATTCCCAACTGATGCCTCCCTCCAATGACTGCTTCTTATGCATCTTATTTTCTATTATGTGTCTTTTTCCTTGTGCAATAAGAAGAATTGTAATTAATACTATGATTGTTTTATTCATTTATTTTATTATTTATTTTATATTGAGCATTAAAATTATAATAAAACAATAGTTGTATATTTTAGACTCCCAACAAAATAGAACAGACGAATAACAATCCTTATATGTATTTATGATTTTCAGAATATATCAAAATCTATCAAAGTTTAGTTTACAAGAAAATCAAATTCTAAGACAAGTCTGAATGATTTTTCTTTATATATCAGAAATGCCATTTCATAAATATACAAAGACATAATTTAAAGATTCACTTAATCATCTCAATTCATTTGCTATTTTTGCTTTTCATTCATTTAGACTTAGTAATTAATAGTAGGAATTTGGAAAGAATCATTAAGTAATCTTAAAGTAGAGAAATTAATCTAATAGCAGTATTTAGGAATAGAGAATGTATACAATTTGTTATTAAAATTTATGATTTATTATTCTGATCAATAATAATAATTGAGTTTTCGGAATATTAAACAGATAATCAAATGATAATTGATAATATCACATATAAAGTTAAACACTTGATATATCTAATGATTTGTTATGATGTATTTGAATTAGTGTTATTTATTTGTATAAAATAATTAGTTTTAATAATATATTGAAATGCATTAGGAACATATGAAAATGAATATTTTGAAATAAATAAAAGTGGATACAAATGACGTTTATCATTTGGATGCAGAAAAGTATTTTAAGAAATAATGCACATCCTTAGAAATGATGCTCATATCTCGAATGATTACGAAAATCAATAAGAGGAATAATGAATAGTTGAGAATGATCGCAATATCTAATGAGTTTGTGTATAACATAGACAAGAAATCAATTAAAAGAAAGATAGCAATTAACAAAATATTTGGAGTCACAATATCAAAAAAGAGTCCAGAGTTTATTATACATGTACCTACAGAATCTGATTTATTGTACAAATCATAAGAGAATAGAGATGTATTAGTATTTTACTTAGCAATTGCCTTGAAAATGCACAATATAGATAGCATCAGAATATATTTTGTAGAAGATGAGGTCTTACAGCCATACTGTATGCATCATCAAACTCCTGATAAATCAAAGTAAACTAGTTTGCATCCGAAATGTTAAATTAGCACATTGCACCCTGAGAATTTCCAATTAAATTATATCAATATTATGAATAAGAGTAAGGGAACTGCAAATGAAGTGATGGTGCTGTTTGCCAATGACCCACTCAGATTGCGAGTCAAATTAGAGGAGTATTAGAAATCAGTAGTCTTAGCTTCAGGATCTTTGAGCAAGATCTACTTATTGCACAATAAATACGAAAAATAATAACAATTCTCAGTGCTGAAAAGTGTTCCCATCAATTCAGTCGACATCGACTTGTTGGAGCTGTTTCTCAAGAATTATGAGAAATTGCCATTCATAGAGGAATTGGAGCTGTGTTTGCTCTACAATGGTAATGTAAATTTAATATTCAAATTGGTGAAGGGAGGAGACCTCTATTAACACTTGAAGGAGATCAACAATTTCCAAGAATAATAAGTAAAATAAATAGTTGCATAAGTAGCAATAGCTTTGTCAGATCTACATGAGAGGGGAATAATATTTGGAGATTTGAAACCTGAGAATATTTTGATTGACGAAAGAGGGTATGTATGTTTAACTGACTTCGGATATGGCAAATTGAGAATGTACTAGGAATTCAAGAAAACTTAAGCCATCAATTTCACTATTGAATATTCATCCCCAGAATACATCAAGAATGGGGAACTAACTAGAATGTCAGATTGGTATAGTTTGGGCATTCTAATTTATGAATTGTTGGTAGGCATAACACCATTCTATCACAACAATTTCGACATAGCCTTGAAGCTCATTCTCAAAGGTGAAGTGCATTTCCCCAGAAATATAGTTTGTTCATCATAATGTAAGGACATCATCTAAAAATTGATAAATCATGATAGTACACATCGATTGGGATTTCTCATGGATTTTAAGGAATTGCAAAGTCATCCTTGGTTTCACGACATTTCTTGGGAGGATTTGGCCTAGAAAAAATATGATACTCTTGCATACATACCATAATTCAATGAGATATCACAAATATCAGATAGATATTTTACTATGGAATAATTAAACGAAGATGAAAGAAGTTGGTGATTCTTTATATTAAATACAAATGTTTATTATTATTATTATAAGTTAAAAATTCAAATTCAATGTTCAAAAATTTCATGTATGTTGAATATGGGCCAGAATTACAATGTCATGATAAGCTCTATTAAAATGCCCTAAAAAAATAGTAGAAATAAAAAGACGTTGATTACTAAAAATAATTATAAATGTTGATTGATCAAGTAAATGAAATCGAAGATGAACCTCCTTAGTAGGTAACTAAGGACTTTTATGATTACTCAATGAAATGGAAAAATCTAGTTAATCAAAAACGATTTTAGGAGCAGTATTAAAATGAGATGAGTCTGTAACAAAAGTCATAATAACCTTAAATATAAAAATTACCTTAGAATTATCTATCACCCATTGATGGTTGGAAATATCATGCTCAATAGTACTTTGAGAAAAAAGGAAGCAGATAGCAAAACGACTCCAGTTTCTAACCAAGCATAAATGAAAAGTCCAAAATGATGCAGTTTGATGACCCAGTTGAAGATAGATTGATTAAATATGGCTAGCAAAGAGAATAGAAATACCTATTTGAAAAGCAATTTGAAAAGTTTTATGAATAAGTCCAAAATGATCAAAGACCTACTAAACCAAATGAAGAAGTCTTTTCCAGATTATATAATTATGGTACATATAATGTCATTAGCAAGAACGCAAATAACCACAACCTGAAGTATATTAATTGAATATCAACAAGTTACCTCCTGAATTTGAGGAAAGAGTCAAAAAGCGACGAGAATAATACTCTCTCTTTGAAAACAGGTAAACTAGAGCTTAGACTGAAATAACTGATCATGAAATCAAAGTATTATCATAAAATTAGTTTGATGAATTTCTGAAACGGAATTTCTGCAATAACTTTAGAACCCAATCTTTTAAGGAAGAATCAATTGAATCGTATCCATTCCAACCTGAATTGAACAAGAAATCCTTAGAATTGGCTTCCAAAAACACAGACACTTTGATAGAAAGGTAAGAGAAGTTTTTGATCAAAAAATAACAGACCTTATAATAATATTAAGAAGAACAATAGTTGGAGAAGCAAAGACAATCTGAAAATGAATTTAAATAGATGAGCAAGCCAAGTTCAAAGATTAGAGTGAACAAACCCAGCAAGTCACCCATTCGGCAATAAAATGCTTATAACTTATAAACATTAATCAACAAATAAGTGCCTTAGCTATTTTGAATAATCACATAATGTTTGTTTTCCAATATATAATAATTTATATAATTATTATACAAATGAAAAAAAGCAATAGTACAGAATTGACACATCATTTTATTGAAACCAGAAATATGTTGGCACAAGCAGAAGAATAAATCAATTCTGTTGCCACTCCCATCAGTACTCATTGATATCTATTAATTATAGTCAACACTAGTTAATAATTTCAAAAAACAAGTTAAATCTATTCCGGATAAAAATCAACATTGCAAAAAAGTGACTTCTTTTTGAGTAGATTAACTAAATAGCATAACTATAGCATTGCAATAGTATATGGATCGTTCTTCTTTTTTCTTATGGTGGTTGGATTTATAGTTCTGAGAAGATTGTTCTATAGAAATTTCTATTCTGACATTTCGTAACTCATCAGATAAAATATACAATATATTTTCTAAAATATAAGTTATATTTTCTCCTATGGTTAAAAGGTTTAATAAGATTTATGAAGAATCATGATATTTATGTATTTTAATATAAATTCATCTAAAAATACCACCGAAAAACAGGCCTATTACGATGACAAGCATCAATTAGCCTACAGTAAATCCCTCTTAGAACTAATTAAAGTAATTGATATCAACAGCAGATTTCTATGCCTAAGCATATTATTATTTGATAGTTTATAATTCTTTTTGTAAGGATTGTGACTTTGCCTATAATTCAGCCAACAGAGTCTCCTTCTACTATTACTACACATCCAAGACTTCGATGGCAATGATGACGTGATCCAAACTTTTTCTAGATTTCCAAAATTCCTTCAAATCTTCCTAAGGATCTGCCAACTCTGCATATTGAATTTCCAATTAATCGCCAAACAATTTGATATCCTAATGTAAAATCAAGTGAGCTTACAGCAGCTACGATATTTTGAATGCAATTCTCGAAATCTTATCTACTTTGAATGAGTCCCGTGTAATGGTCTAATTTGTAATTTGTGTTGTTGTTGCATCTGATTCTGAATGTTATGGGCACATCACTTACATTTCTAATCTTGAACCTCAATTGGTTAAATAGACCTTATTGGAATTGCAAACTCTTATGAGATACTTCGATCATAAATTAATATTTTATATATCAATATAATGAGATTTAATATAGTTATCAAGATATCTCCATTCTCATTCAGAACAGCAGTAGTATCTCATCTAATTTCAGAATCAACATTCCTTAAACTCAATTTGAGTGAAACAATTTGTTATATTTATAATAATTGATATTAAATAATGTCGTAGGATGAATACGAAGATTATGAAGAGTATTATTGTGGCAAAGAAGAGCAAATGGAATAAGAGGAGGACATAGAACCTGCTTTGCAAAGAGTAGAATCAAGTAAATCACTCTTTACTATGTGAAGCCACTTAAACTCAATAATATGTTTAGATAGTAGATCCCAATACGAGAGATGATCCTGCGTTCGTATTATTATTACAAGAGAACAATATCCCTTAATTAGAAGTTTCCCTGCTTTCCGATTTCTCTATGTTCTTTGAAAGGTAGGCAAGATTGTTCAATTATTGTGCCAACTTATTCTAATTGGCTTTTACATCTTAAGGTATTTTCTCATGCTAGACTAGAAATCGCAAATGATTATGTCATGCAATTATCCAGGATTCTGAAATTGTTCTTCCAGATTTAGGAGATAGGCTCATATTCATAATTCTAATCCTAATTAGCTTAACATGTTGGATACTCTACACATAAGATAGGCTATGCAATTAACAGTGACTAACAGTTAGTTTTATTGATATTGAAACTCATCTTGAAGGACGACGATTAACTCTAATAGATTCAGGCATATTTGCCGAGATTTCTGATGTTCACCATCAATCCCCCACAACCATTTACAAGTGCTACATCACCCAGAGTATTTTAGACATTAATTGTAAACAGAATAAATGATGAGTTGTTTGATGCTTCATTTGAGAAACCAAACAAATTAGACATTTTGGCATTATCATATTTCTCTTAACAGACACAAAATATTTCCATCTACAAAGAAATCATCACGATTCTGGCATCCATATTTGAAAGGTACTCCATCCTCTTATTGTATTAGTTTACTAGATTAGAAACAATCGTAGTATTTGAATCATTAATTGATAAATCTATTACATTTCTTTCTTGCCTTCACCACCAATTAAACCATACTCCACACCTTCTTCAATAACCATTTCCACAGAACTCTCTACAATTCCATTAGGTTCTCATAGCCCATATTCGGATCTCTGAATCAACCCCAATGGTCCAAAGAACCTCTAATTATTGATGCTATGGTAAATTTAATAGTCAGGATTGTGAGTATAGATTAAGTCGATAAGATTCTAATTGAAATTCTATAGGATGATTTCACATTGCTATTAGAGAAGTAGAAATTCGATTTCATCTACAGAGTTATCCTCCCAATTCTTAATAGCGAATAAGTTAGATTGATCCCTGTTTGTTTTCATCCAAGACTAAGTGTTTAGGAGAGCAAGCAACAAGTTGAAAAGTTCCTGCTTTCACAAAAGAAGTCGATTTCAATTTCTTAATCACTGACGACCGAATTACTGACCAAGAAATAATGCGAAAAGATTAATTAGCTTGTTATAGATCAATTAAAAACAAATATTCCCTAGATGTAATAGGAATTAGGAGAATTGTAATAGATATACTAATAGTCATTAGAATAGAATATCAATCCTTAAATGAACAAGGGATCATGGGTGAATCTGCATCAATTCAACCCATACAATCCTCATTTAGACTCATAGATTTTATTTGATAAATTGGATAACAGGAATAATGTATTATTTATTTTTGATTTGATGGCAGGCAATGAAAATGTGAGATTGGTCTGTTTTATTAACAATATCATTTAAGATAAGAGACAACACAATTACATTTAGGCTAAATCTAATAGTCAATCCTTTTATGCATTGATGGTTTAAGATGACCATTTCTGGTATGTGAATTCCCTAGATAAAAAGCCTCACGTGATATTGGATATTCAATAGAGTATGCTATAAATAGGTCATCACAATCAGCCTATTGCTTGCATCAATTTTGTAGATTTCCAATCGTGTAAATTTGGATTTCCCTTCGAGAAAATCTAATAAAGAATTCTGTTGATTGATCAAATCACAGCTTCCATGATGGAATAGGATTGTTACTTGATATAAATTGAAATCTGGACTTTTGATGAATCCAAAGATTAGATAGCACAAACTGGCATCTAAGACTTACTAGACCATAAAAGTTACACCCAATAATTAAACTACTATCTCTCATAATTCAGGTTCTAAACAATTCACTTCATTCCACACAATCTGAGTGTCCAAGAATTATCAACATAGTTGAAAGAAAAGATCAATATAGAAGCATTAAAGGAGAATGAAATCAATGACATTATAGTTAATAAGCCCATCTTATAGCTTCATTTGAAGACCTAATCATAAAAGCCTCTCTTGAGTTACTTTTAAACATACATTGGCGGAATTGAGAAGATTTTGGAATAAATCAATAAGCATTTGTATGTAGTTAAAGCAGATTAGGTCTATAAGCAATTGTTTATTGAATTGCATTTCCTGTCTGAAATTGATGGATTTTATTACTCTATCATTCAAACTGATGGGTTCTTGTAATTTTTATTAGCAGTGGCATTTCTGAATGATAAGAAGGAGGGCAGAGATGCATACAATAAAGTGATTGAATTGATGTATTAATCATTGGCACTCATATTGGATTAAAATCCGAATTTGAAAGAGAAAGCATTGTTTACAACCAAAGTCTAGATTAGGATTGTGAATAGAATTGACTCTTACTTAAATCTATTGAATCGAAATGTCCAATCCCAATTCTAATTCAAACTTGAACCGAAGAAGACAGCCAATCCAAAATAATAGGAAATTCAAAAGGGAAAGCCTAAAGGAATTGGCTATGGCGATATCAGTTATAAGAATTAAATATTTGATGCCTCTAAACTTCAATAGGAATAATAATAATCATAATAATAATCACAATATGTTCCCAGGAAACAAATTGAAATTTAGTAAAGCTAATAAGAGATCAACCTAGAAGCCCTGATGAGTTGTTTACGAATATTGCTTGATTAGGATTATAAAGATTCTGCAGTCATTTAATGTTTATAACAATCACACATTCTGAATTTTCTAATCAAGTACTTTTAAACCATAAATATAACTTAATTAGAAGGTTCCAAAGTATTTAATGAAATTCTGAAAATAGTAGAGAATTTGGCCAAGTGTAAGACTACTTTAAAGTTATTTTTGATAAACGATAACTAGAGTCTGTTTAGGTAATTGGAAACTTTCAATCAATGGGCAATCATGTTTATTAAAACATTCAACTCTAAAGTAGAAGAATTAAACGAATTCATGGAAATATACGATTATGTTGAATCTTGTTTGTATGCCTCAAATATGATTACTATATAATATTTAAGTTAAGATTAGCAAAACCAAAACTAAGAATAAATCAGTATGCATTAATTTTATAGGCCATTTATGAAGAGATTGGCAGTTGGTAAATGTGAAATCAAGAGTGATCCAGAATATTTGAGTGTGATGAAAGAGTACTATTAAAATACTAACAACCCAAATTAGATTAAAATGTAAAAGCTGATATCAGAAATTTCAGGCATTGAAGAGAACCTCCCCATGGAATCAAGCAATTCTATATTCTTAAGATACGATTAGGACAGAATGGATTGCATGAGAACCATAATCTTTGGTTCAAGTGGTACTCCATATGCTCATGGTGCATTTCTGTATGATATGTATTTTGGGGAGGACTATCCATAAAGACCTCCAAAAATGAAACTATCTACAACTGGACATGGGAAAGTGAGGTTTAATCCAAATCTCTATAATTGTGGAAAGGTATGTCTGAGTCTCTTGGGAACTTGGGGGGACAGTTGGATAGTTAACTTTTCTACGATCTTATAGATTTTAATCTCAGTGTAATCAATGGTTATGTGGGAGAATGTCATGTTTAATGAACCTGGTTGGGAGTCATAAATGGGTACTTCAAATGGAGAATAGGCTAATAGAGGTTACTGCAACTTTGTTAAGGTTTAAAACATCAAATATGCAATGATTGAATAACTACAGAAACCTCCAAAGGGATTTGAGGAAGTCATTCAGAAGAGTTTCTATTTGAGGAAGGATTTGATAAAGAAAGAAATTGAATCTTGGATCGAATAGGCTAATCTACCTGCTACTTATGGTTATACTTAAAATAATTGCTCCTATGGTTCAGCACCTGGTGTGTACAAATAAGAATTGATCAAGGTTTATGATGAATTGAAAGTAGAATTAGAGAAGTTAAAATTCAATATTGGCGCTGATTTTTACACAATAACTGATGAGAAGAAGAAGGCAATAACAATTAATTAAAATTAATTTGATTAGATGGAATAGGACGAAATAAATAATATGTAAATGCCTTAGGGATTAGATATGAATGAGATTGATATTAGCTATGAAGATGCTTTGCAGCAAAGACAATTTGACTCAAATGATTAGAACCTACAGAATTTGATGAGTAGATATATAGGAGTGGTTGGATTGGATGCAGTTAAAAAGTAAAGTGAATCCACTATTTTCATTCATGGACTGAATGGATTGGGATTAGAAATAGCCAAGAATATCGTGTTGTCTGGTGTGAAGAGATTGATTATATATGATCCTACTTTGGTTGAATTGTCTGATTTAGGAACCAATTTCTATTTAAATCAGGAAGATATTGATCAACGCAAAGATGCAAAAGTCTTAAATAAGTTAAAGTACTTGAATCCTTATGTTAAAATTGATGTACTCTAAAATAGTATCTAAGAACTTAATTTGGATGAGATTTAAGTATTTATAACTCAAGATCCTAAATTATCAACTGAAATATCTAAGTAAAATAAAGTGGCAGTCATCTTGGCATAGACTAGAAATGTGTTTGCTAGGATAGTAACAGACTTTGGGAATGAATTCAATATCATAGATAAAGATGGTGAACAATTGTCAGAAGTTCTGATTGAAAGTATCTAGAATAATGTAGTCACTTTATTTAAGAATCAAAATCATAATTTAAATGAAAATGACGTTGTCTTAATTTAAGAAGTAAAATAATAAGAAGGATAACAAGAATCATATAATTAGAAATTTTAAATTAGAAATGTAAAAAGAAATTCATTTGAGTTGGTTACTGATAAAATATTTTGTAATTACATTAGTCATGGAGTTGCCTATCAATAAAAACAAGTAGTTAAAATATCATTCTAAAGGATTCAAAATGTATTGAGTTCATTCTCTTACTTCTGTGAGAATATGGGGATGTTGGATAGAATAGGCGAGATTAAACGAGCCTTGATTCATTTTTGTTTAAATAGCACAGATTAATTAAATAATGATTGGAATCTGGATAAGATCAAACTATTTATTAATGAAATTCTGTCTTAAAAAGTGGATGAAAGACTCAATGAACACTTTAATGAAGATGTATATAACAATTACAGGGATGAATTAATGCCTCTCTAGATATTATTATCAATTAATACATAATTCTAGCCATTGTGTGCATTTATTGGAGGTATGGCAGCCTAAGAGGCCATGAAAGCAATAAATAAGAAATACACACCAATTCATTAAGCATATGTCTAATCATTTGAGGATGTGTTGCCTTTTAAATTAAGAGAGCTAAACAACATTCAATAAGAATATCAACAATTTCTATAAAAATATGGAATTGGTAAAGATACAAATTCTAGGTACAAAGACTTGATTAATACTATTGGAGGTGTATAAAACCTGCATTCATCAAATGTCTTTGTAGTAGGAGCAGGTGCAATAGGGTGTGAATTACTAAAAAACTATGCTCTTTTAGGTGTAGGTAAGAATGGTGCCATATATGTGACTGATCCAGATATAATTGAGAATTCAAATCTTAGTAGATAGTTCTTGTTTAGAGAAAAGCATATCAGAAAACCTAAAAGTTTGACAGCTGCTGCAGTTGTAAAATCGATGAATCCTGATATCAAAATTATTGCTAGATTGGATAAGGTCTGTTAAGAGACTTAAGATATATATCATAATCAATTTTATAAATAAATGAATTGCGTAACTAATGCATTAGATAATGTTCAAGCAAGATTATATATAGATTCTAAATGTGTTGAAAATGATATTTGTTTAATTGAGAGTGGTACATTAGGAACAAAGGGTCATGTATAAACAATCATTCCTAATCTAACTGAAAGTTATGCAAGTAAATAGGATCCTGAATAGAATAATGATATTCCTTACTGCACCTTGAGGATGTTTCCAGAAAATAATATCCACTGTTTAGAATGGGCTAGAGATAAGTTTGAATAGTATTTCTATCGCAAACCGACTGCCCTAGTTTAATTGATGTAAGAAGCATCTCCATAACAATAAACTGTAGATTTAGCATTAAGAATTCTCAAAAAATACCCTAAATCATTTTAGTAGTGTCTGGAATTAGGAAGATAGAAATTTTAGAAATTATTTGTTTTTGATATTCAGGCCCTACTCAATGCATATCCTTTAGATTCAGTGAATAAAGAAGGCAAGTTGTTTTGGTCACCCCCAAAAAGAGCCCCATAAGTAATTGAATTTCAAGGGGCCTTTGCTTATAAATTTGTTGAATACTTTGCTATTCTCACAGCTCAAATCTATGGAATACAGATACCTTAATAATATGATTTAACTAAGATAAATGTGGAGGTACTTAGCAAATAATAATTGAAGAAGAATAAGATATAAGATTTAGCAGAGAAGTAATAAAATAATTAAATTGAATAAGAAGAGGAAGTCAAGAATTACAATCAATTACTAGATGAAGCAAGGAATTTGTTGAAATAAATTGAGCCTAGTTTGCCATAACCTTAGTAGTTCGAAAAAGATGATGATTTGAATCATCATGTGTCCTTCATCACTTCTGCTACAAATGGAAGAGCTCTTAATTATGGTATACAATAAGTGGACTGGATGTGGACCAAATTAAAAGCAGGCAGAGTATTATTAGTTTATATATCTCATAGATTATCCCAGCCATGGCTACCACTACTTCCTGTATTGCAGGATTGTAGACGTTGGAATTAATTAAAATATTGTAGAAGGGACATAATTATAGGAACACCTTCTTGAATTTGGCTATTCCATTTCTCATGCAAAGCGAACCTGGAGAAGTTGAAAAGGTAAATGAATGTTGATAATTTAGAAAACTTTGGCGAATGGCATGGAGATCACTATATGGTCTAAACATTAATTGAAGATCTGTAAATATATGGAACCTCTATCTGGTATTATAAGAAAACTAGAAAATCGATTTAATACCTAGATTATCAGCATTTAATAAGGAGCTAAAGTCATATATCTGTCTTAGATGCTACCTAAAGATGAACTCGAACTGTACGAATTGATGAATGCTCCGATATCCTCGTATGTGTAATTTGTTAATCGGGAATCTTAAATCAATGTGTAACTCAAAGGTTGTTCATGGGTTGTGGTAATTCTTACCATGAATTGAGTATAATTTAATAATTATAAATTTAATGGGGAATTCAAATTAAAAATTGTAAGAAGAGAAGTACGAGAATGTGATGAAGAAATTCAAGTTGAAGGAGTCGATTCATCATCACTAGTTGGGTATGATCAGAGTACACACTCTCAAAGATGATAATGTAATTGATCTACGATTGACTAGAATTATTCTATTTTTGAATTTCATAAGACTCCCACAACATCAGAGGAAGCCAAACTTATGTTAGCTCATTACAAAAATAGGAAATGCTACAACAATGACCATCTTACATAAATATTTTTCATCTCTGAATAACATAGTCAAATCTTATGTTAGGATCAAACTTAGTTAACAGTGATTGGAGAATTCTTTTACAATAACATCTAAAATGAAATGAAAACGAATTATTTGTCTAAAAATTACAATAATACTACCTCGCAATTTCCAGAATCCAGATTATGGTAAATAACACTTTAAATTGTCAATGCTTGCACATTTTTGGAAAAGAACGGTAGACATCATGGTGAAATTAAATCTAAAAACATCTATTTGCATCCTGATCAAAGTGTGAAATTAACGGTATTTATATAACTATAAATTTTAGGAGTACAATTTCATCTATGGGAGTATGACTGGATATTAGAAGGCATTGTTATTGAATGAATTTCAATATCTCTCTCCTGAATTACTGAAAGAATTGAGAGCAAATAATTCATCGCCAAACGTAGATTTAATCAAGGGCGATGTGTTTGCTCTAGGATTAACCCTGTTGGAATTGGCTAGCCTTAGTTCCTCTGAATAGTATTATGATTGGGTTAAAAAGGAAGTTTATGTAGATAAAGTCATCAAAGCCAATGATCAATTAATAACAGAGAGGCTATTCAACACTTTTTACTAATTTAATTTACCAGATGGTATCAGAAGTGGAAATCAGACCAAGATTCAACGATTTAAAGGAGGTGCTATCTCATTTCGAGAATGAAATCAACAACAATTTAGACTTCTACTCCAGATATTAGATGAAATAGAGTCAACAATATAACATTTATAACTCAGTGTACACCCAACCATTCTAGAGACCTGGACAAATCAATTAAACACAATCGATATATTTACCTAATGGATCATATTGAATATATATAAAATAAATTAATATGTTCAGACAAAGGAGATATTTTTGCCAATCCATAACTTTTTATTAAAGGGAATAGTACCTAAGCAAAGTGATGAAGGATTGCGAAGATTGCTTTAAGTAATTGGATCAACATGGCAAATCAATCAAGAGAGAGACCAAAGATATGTTCATTAAATTCACTTAAGGAAAGGTAGAATAGATGAATCAAATTATTTAGTTGTAAGAACAGAAGAAACTCTTGGAAACTGATTCTGTTGGAGTCTTTTCAATGGTTTTGGATATCATAGAAAACCTTATTCATGATAAGCCTTTGATGTCTTATATTCTGACCACAATTGAGGCAATCATCTCAGGTATGTCTCACAAATAATTCAAATAGACAATCAGAGATTATTTAAACAATTCATGAGAGCCTTGACTCCCCAAGTATTACCTAAGTTAAAGCAATTCTTATTCCTTGATGGATATGATCCAATGGCATATGAGGCAGCTGCCAAGATTGCTACCATGATAATAGCTGAAGAAGGAGGAAATGATGCAAAGGAATGGGTGATACTCTTCTTAGGAGGAATAGGTAATCACTATATAATATCACCATTAAAGGAAATAAATTAAAAATTGCAGATTTTATGATCATGCCAATTTGTGTTCATTTCTTGAAACATGAAGCTCTTGCGATCCAATTTATTAAGAGTGGAGGAATTAGGATGTATTTATGTTTGTTCATTTTAGAATATCGAATTTATTATCAAAGTATTCAACAGATTTATAGATTGCATATTATACAATTTTAGCTTTATGGTTGCTCAGTTTTACAACTGAATCTATTCCATTATTTAGTGATCCCACTGTTGGGTTGATCAGATTGATAATAGAATCAGTGTAGAAGATATCAAGAGAGAAGATCTTAAGAGTTTCCTTTGCCTGTTTTAGGAATTTAGTTGATGTGTCACCTTAAAGTATAGAATTAATGGTTGATAACGGATTGATCAAAGTGGTTGATTTACTTTTGAAGGGAAATTTAAAAGATTAAGATTTGATAGATGATATCAAGTATGTTGGAGAAATATTAGAGAAGAATATGAAAATATTAACGTATATTAATACTCTATGCATAGATCTTTTGAGAAATATGTTAAGGAATTGAATGCTTAAAATCTAACATGGAGTCCAGTTCACACTGAAAAGTTTTGGAAGGAGAATGTGAAGAAGTTTGAAGAGAATGATTTCTTATTGATTAGGTATTAAATAAATTTTGAGATTAGAAAATTGGCAGAAATTCTAAAATCAAATAACAATCAAAATGTGGCAGTGGCTTGTTATGATTTGGGAGAGTTTTGCAGATTCCATCCTTTTGGAAAAGTGTAAGTAAATTATGTGAGTATAGAGTGTTAGAGTAATTGAATGCAAAACAAGAGATTATGAGATAAGCTAGAAATGATGATTAATAGATCAGAGAACACGCTTTGTTGTCCTTATAAAAGATAATGTTGCATAATTGGTAAGTTTGAAAGAAGATTAAATATATATATATATGTATTTGTATATTTGAATAATAAATAAAATTAATTATGTCCGAACAGCAGGTAGGCTAAGTATGAATATATGTTAATTGAATAGGAATAATTGGATGTAACTGCCATGATGGAAGATTTGTATGAAAAACTAATATTATTGAATTATGAATAAAGTTATGTGAAATAAAAGTAAGTTTAAATTCCAATAACTAGAGGTGGGAAACCATTGAATAGAGCATACTTTGTCAATTAAACTAATTCGAGTGAGTAATTCGGCCAATTTAAAACGTATAGTATCTTTATTTTATTTAGATTGGTAAAATGGCTGTTTTCTTAGAATGATGTGCAAACTGCTGATTTTAATAAGTTAGATGACCCTGTAACATTGTCCTAGAATATATGTATATTACCTTCTAATTGGAATAGTAAATGAAGTCAAAAATATGGGAATAGAAGTCGACTTCCCCCCACTTAAATTAAAATAAGGGTTTGGGGAATATGTTGTTTATGTGCTCTAGCAATTGGCTACGAAAGCCATCTAAAAAAAGAAGTTTCAGTTTAAGAAAGCAAAAATAGAATAACAATCTTAGACGTAAGTGTATAGTCATAACCTAAAAGTCGATAAGATGAAGAACCTGTTTAGGAAACTGGGAGTGTGTCATCAGATTCTGATCCAGAAGTGGCGTCGGATGAAGAACCAGAAGATGTGTTTAATGAATAGGGATTCTAAAAGGAGTAAATAAGCTATTAATACGAAGTGAAGAGAGGATGGTGATAGAATCTAATGTGAATCCATAGGAATGGGCCAAGGAAGTAGAGAGAGCTGCACAAAAGATCAAGATAGTAATCAAACCGAATGCTGGAGAGTGGAGATAACATTTTGATGCAACTAAATAATATTCATCATAAATTAAAACAATTCTACCGGAGGCAAGGGTTAAACTGGAAAGATTGACTGATGAATTGTCTGAGATTTTGGACAGGATTAGTAAGAGAGAATATAATATTAATGAAAATATGCATGATATGGTATGGTTGAAATTGAATAAACTAGGGGAGTGAATACAAAAAGAAGAATGAAGAAGTCAAGAGGATTGAATCTCAATGCAAGAATTATACAAATGCGATCAAGGAAATGGGAGATCAATACAAATAAATTTCGGATAAGTATGAGATTGTACAAAACAAATTAAATGAACATGGTAGTATCTCTACTGATTAATCTCCTGTAATCAGAATCAAGGCATCTATAACTAAATTAAGGGTAATACTGAGTTTTAGTTCTTTTTAGTTAGAAATTAAACAAATGGATCTCAGAATTGGAGTATTGTCACATACCATTCTACAAAGAACGTATCATGACTCTAAAGCTATGTAAGAAAGAGATTTTCATGAAAATGGACTTATATTAAACGATTCAGACGAGTTAACAGATTGAAAAATATATATATATATATAATTAATACACCATATAAATTAATTAATACACTTGTCATTTTATTAATTATTAATTATACATGCCTTAATTATCCAAGCAAATTCAATACGGACTTGTTGCAGCTTTCGCGTAAGAGCTTATTCATCTATATTTAGAGTTGGTTTGGGTACACTCAAAGTTGCTTAACGACCATTTGAAACATGCATTGGATATGTTCTTTCTTTAGGATCTATTGTGTATTTGATTTCTCTATGCAAGTATCTTATTAGGTTGGGACAAGTTACCATTTAATTAAACTAATTCAACTGATGGTGAGGAATTAACAAAGGATGAATTATACGAAAGAAGAAGATTATTAAAGGAAGAAAAGAAACGATAAAAATAACTTGAAGCTCAAGAATTGAAGAGATAACAAAGATCCCAATCTTCTGAATCTCCAGATAAAAAGTCACCTGAAAGAGCTTCCTCTCCATCAGAAAGTGAAGGAGAAAAAAAAAAAGTTTAGGAAACTAAAAACAATTCAAAATAATAATAACAATAAACTAATGGTAATTAATAATAAAACAAAAAATAAAATCAATAATAAACTTAATAATAACAAAAATAATAATAATAACAATAGTAATAATAATAACAACAATAATAGTAATAACAATAGAATAAAAAATAGTAAACCAAAGAAAAAGGAAAATAAACATAAGAAAAATAAAAACCATAACCCTAACATGTTGAAGATGATGATGAAGGATGGGAAGAAGTCTAAGATCCAAGAAAAAATAAAAAAGCCAGTCTTTTGAAACAATAATAATAGGCTGAAGCTTAAAAGTAAGCTGAAGCTAAGGCCGCTGCTGCTGCAAAAGCTGCTGAAGATGCAAGAATTGCTGCAGAACTTGCTATCAAGGCTGCAGAAGAACTTGCTCAAGCTGCCAAATAATAATAAAAAGGGTATTTTATTTAATTTATTTTTGTATAGATCTAAAGGTAAAAATACTAATGCTAAATAACAAAAACATGAAGATAATGAAGATGGAGAGTAATTATTTATAATATTTTATTAGTGATGATGGTTGGGTTAAAGTTGATTCACCAAACAAGAAATAAAAAGGAGGAAAGAAAAACAAATGAGGTGTTTTTTTATGCATAAATATAAGAATCAATGTTATCTATAGTATAAATTTCTGTATTACTAAATCAATTAATTCTCATTGTATATTGGTTGCTTTGATTATAAATAAATACAATTATATATCATAAATCAAACTTAGACTTCTATTATTCATCATCTCCCTTCTTCTTTCTGAACTAATATTCCAAATATTATTGCTAATATTCCTGAGGAATGTTGCCTCCTTACTTGGCCTCTTTTGCTAATCCCTCATAAAAGTCATCCTAGGTATCGAACCCAGGTAAATTTTGATCATCATCATCGTCTTCAAACTTGTACCTTTGTTCCTTTCTTGGCTCTTAAATTGTTACGTCCAAATTTATTTTCTTTCCTTCCAAGGCTGCTCTAATATACTAAATAAGTAACAAATATTACAGCATCCTCTTATTCAATCTCAATTTCCTTTAGAGTCTTTGAGCTTTATACTTTCTACTTCATCTTATCATACTGTCCTTCCATTTTTATCAATACTCCAGTTGAAAATACTACAAAGACCAACATAGGTAATGTTTCCTTCGAAAATCTTCTATATGAATTGTACTTCTTTCTAATATCAGGTCTAAGCAAGAATTATTGCCACCTTTTGTCAATTTGCAATTATAATTTACCACGACAATTTTGGCATAGCCTATTGAGGATTTTTTCCAATCTACTCTGAATATGCCTTCATTATCTCCGGATCCAATTAGGTCAATTTGACAGGTTTTTTCAAATAAGAATTTATCCGTTGTTCGTGAGGCTACTAATATTTAGGATCCTCGTCTTATTAATTCATTTTTAATTTTTATATCACAATAATATAATTAAAAATAGAAGTATATAAAGTATACTGATATAAAATTATATCTCAGATTCTTGAATTTGAGTTATTTTTAAACTTAGCTTGGAAGTAAGTTGACAAGATTTTGATTTTTAAGAAATCACTTTAATGTTTTCTTACTTACGTTTGAATCTAATATATTATCAATGAATGTTAATATTTATAATAACTATCTCAACTTTATAAGTATTATAGTAACATATCCAATTGAATTGGCATCATGAAGCAATTTCCTAATGTGTCCATTTCCCCATAGGAATTATATATTAAAATAATAATTTTAAAATTATTATTGATTCCAAGAATCTTTGTTATTAATCTAAATATAATGAATAATAATTACTCTCTATAATTGAAATTAGTGTTGTGACAATTGACAATGATATTTTTAAAATATTAACAAGAATTATTCTAACAAACTTTATCTCTTAATCTTAAACTAATATGTTTGTATGAATCTTGTTCATTAATAAATGAAACATTGTCCTATGTATGTTATTTGATGACTCTTTCAAATTCTTAATTTGAATTGATAATTAATTTGTAACTACATTAACAAGATTCATTCTATTTTTAAATATTCTTGAATCTCCCCAACTCCTATAGTTTCATCATGCCAACTAATTTAGTTTATTTTTTGTTAGTGTTGATATCTATTGGCTTAGCAATCTTTTGAGTTTATTATCTATTAATAATTAATGATCTCAATCCTTTATTAAGTCTTTATAAATGTTATATTTGATCATCATCTCTTATGTACCTCTCCATGATTTCATTCTCTTCAACATCAACGTCCATTTCGTCTTGAGTTATTTCTTCATCTATTATGAACTGAGTACTAAACTCATCTAAAGCTAGATTTCTGATTGAAAAAGATATTCTTGTACCACAATCCTGTAAGGACTTAATTCTTAATCCTTTATTAGCAAGCTGGCCTGTTATTTTCTTGCATTGAAATACAGGACCTAAAATCTTAGTTATGTAATTAACTATTTGCAAGGATCGGATTGAATTAACATTAAATTCTTCTTAGAAGATATCCAAATTAATTCCTTTACCAGTATCTTCAACTACTATTTAGATACAATTCTATCTAAAATCATCTTCAATAATTATCTTTATAAATCCTTCTTTAGTATTTTTAATGCTATTATCCAGTAGAATTTACATAATTTATGTTAATCTCAATTGATCTGTTTTAAATTCCCCAGTATGTTATTTTAGGTTATTTAAGAATTATAATTTAATATTAGGATTAATTTGGTTCTGATACTTTTCTTATAATTATTTAATTAAGTTGTCTGCATCAAATAATTCCTCTTGTAAATATTAAGTTTTGGAACACCTGAGTGTATTTTTGATTTCAATGTTGAGCAATTTGAGAGGAATTTAAAATTATTATTAGCAGAACAACATTTATCTGAATTCTTGACACATAATTGGAAGGTCATCATCTTCATTTTTCTAGTTCAAATTGATATCTTGATATAATTAAGTTATATCTTCTAAAATTAAGAAAATCTAAAAGTTATCTCCCTTGGGTACTTTAATTAAAGTAAATTAAAAGTATTTGCATTGATTTTTTGGTAGATTAAATTTAGATATTCCTTTGTATTCAGTCTATTATTCATTTATTAAATTATTAAGTAATTACTCTAAAATACCATCTGGATTGTAATGAATGACTCTTTGATTTTCTTGTGGCTATCTCAATATACGCAACTGCTAAAGAGCTGGTCCATTTAGAAGGGAATGCAATAACTCTCCTTTTTCATTAGTTCCACAAGTAGATCCAAATTTAGCCAATCTTTTCAATTAAACTAAATTATCTTTGTTAGATTAATTTGTTGAGAATAATTTTAAGACCTCCATCTTTCTTATTTTGACCTCTGCTGATATCAAATCGATGTTTTAATCTTCTTCCAATTACAATTATTTTAATCCTATTCCTGAGATATGAATTAATTCTTTAGTCTAATCAAATAGAATGATGGGAAATTGATTAGTAATTAATTCCAAAATCTATTGTTGTGTCTGCATGTGGACTTATGGAATCATGAATTGAACTTCTTCTTTGTTATTTCTAAATTACATATTATTTTCGAATTAATATTGAGAGTAATTCTTTAATTCAGAATCGATAATGAAAATAATTTCCAATAATATGTAAGCTATTACTTTTATTATATCCTAAAAATAGCCAAAACAATTACTCTAATGAATAAATCGCTATCAACTCTAAATACATAATAGATATACAAAAATATTATTAAGCCTATTCTAAGTTTATAATCATAAATAAATAATTGTATTATCTTATTAATATGAATATTTACCTTTTACCAAATTATTAATCCAATAATAGTCCAAAAATAAGATTATGACAATTCGTTGAAATTTGTTATTCTTTCCTTTTTAATATTAAACTGATATGAATACAATTAGTAATGTTCCCTCAGCAATGCTTAAACAGGTGAAAATGTAAGATGTTATCCTGCCAAATAATAAAGGATTTTCAATTTTTTTGGGAATAACTTCACAGGCTTTAAGAATCATATACAGTATCAAAGTTTGGGCAGCTTATAATAAAAGAAATTAAATCAAGGCAGGCAATACAGGTCCTTTTTAACAACATAGTATCAAAATATACCGTCTTGAATATTTTAAAAAAATAGCAACATCAGTTAAGACGTACCTATAGCAAGACTGATTGGTAGAATGAGGATAAGTGGAATAGTTTATCCACAAGCTCCTTTAACATTGCAATAATCTTGATATTCTCTAGAGGATAGTGATAATTTTACTAGTTTCTTAGTCCTTTAATGAGAATATGATACTCATGGAGTAATGATTGAAGAACAGTCCGATTAATTGGTTTTGGTTATTGAGGAATGAAAGGTTTGTTTTCATTTTTCAGAATTTCTTAATCTTACATTATTAATTAAATATTAAATAGCAAGGGAAACAAATATATATTTAAATATTTTTCAATTTTAATTAATTATGCTCACCAAAATCTTTCTAAAATGTAAAGACAATTGGTTTCCATTCTCAGGCGACAAATCCTTTCTTTGAGATTCCTTAACATAAATCTTTTCACTTTTTTTGAACGGTTCCCTCTATTCAGAAATGTATTTTTAGATGTTTTACTACACAGAATCAAGAGAGTAGAATTTGGATTTCCTATAGTCAACCTTTTCCTAAAGTGATAATTTATAAATAGGGTTTTCGTGAATCTTATGATCAAATACATATTTATCTTTATTGTTGTTATATTTTTGCATAATTTCAAGTGCTCTTCTGGGCAATGATGATTTTTTTAGCTGTGGTTTTTGAGTTTATCCAATCTAATGGTATTCTAAAAAGTATTCTGTGTAATCAAGTCCAAGAAGAATATCATTCATTAATGAAATTGCCTCACAAGTATTATACTTTATAGTTGAATTCGAATCAAATGCCTATCCAGTTTTAATATTCATAAATGGGATGTGAATATATCTTGAAATTTTATCGTCAAATTCTCGACAAAGTGGTTATGATCTTTCATATAATTAGATAAACTCTTTGGAAGTTATTCGATAATAGGAATCCCTGGTTTCGATTTCACACTTTACCCATTTATTATGTAGATGATTTGCTTTGTTGATATCGCCCATATAGAAATAACAAATACCCAATTTATCGTAGCAATCTATTTCATAGTCATCAAAATTATTAGCCCAAGCATATTGAAGTGCTTTCAATATGAATTTATGAGCCTTGTCATATTGTTTCAATCTATTAAATATTGCATTAGTATTACTGCTTTGCAATTGAAAATAATTAAATCAAAATTTTAACTTTCAGTTTGTGATTTCTACACAATTCTGATAATTTTAAACAATCCTTAAATAAAAATGTTGCCTTATTAAGTTGTAATATTGTATTACCGTAATAGGCTATAAAATACAGCAATTCGCAAAATGTCTCTAAATGCTATTAATTAATATTATACGGTTACATTTAATTCTTAAGAATATTGAAATGGATAATTTAAGAAGCTGATCAATTTTTCAATGTCCTTCTTTTTTATGATTTCACAAAATACTGTTAAATTGTCATCTAGGTACTTTTAGAGAGTGTAATTTCTCCGTTATCTGATTGACTCTAACATAGATGGACATTTAAACTTCCTATCATGTCTCAATTACCTTTGTTGTTTATTAAGAACGAACTGATGGACTACACTCAATAGATTTTTCCATTGTATCTGCATTTCTCTCTGGCTAATGTTTTAGCAGTAACGTTTGATTATTCTAAGCTTTATAGCAATAATCTCCTGTGTATTGAATTTAATTAATTCTTGAAGTAATGAAACCAGTAGGTTCATGGTTTAAAGACATGAGTCGAGAGCGTGGAATGGAATTGTTTAGGGTTTCTGTGATTGATAATCGAGGGAGAACTCTTTTGAATTTATTTGACTATTTGCTTGAATTAAGTATAAAATGAAGCAATTCTGACGTGTTTTGACTGGAGCATGGATCTGAAAGTATATCTTTGTTCATTTTTGATAGTATTAATTGATAAATATATTATTCAATTTTGAAGTATTTAATAAAATAATAATTTTCATATTATCGTTAATAAAAAAGGAGCAAAATGACTCAATGATAGGAAATTAATAATTTTAATTCTATATAATCAGCAACGGGATTCTAGAGTAAATGAGAAGTTTATTAAATCTGCAGAATATGATGAATGCCGATGTAATCTTTGCCATTTAATTGAAAAAGTAGGAATTTTATAATTAATAATTTTTCGATATTAGTACTTCCTTCTAATGTGTAACCAAGAATACATAGATGACTTGAAACCCCCATTTTTATAGAAGCTATTCAGCATGTGCTCCAATTTTAGCGATTAAGAATACCAAAGGCATCCTCCAAAGCTAGAAAAATGGTAAAAGAAATTTAATATTATAGGAATTCATACATAGAGCCTGAACTAGTTCCTGAAAAATAACACATCGCTTATGGGGAAACAAATAACATACACGATGAAAGCCCAAATGTAGACGAAAACCTACAAGAGTAGAAAGAAGAAATTAAATAGGAAGAATTCTAGCCTTGCAGTTGCTAAAAGACTCATTGCTTAAAGATGTATTGTTCTTGTTTCCACAATGGGAGATTTTGTGGGAAATCATGTAGATGTGAAGAATGTGAAAATACGGAAGAATTTAAAATGAAAAGAATGCAGGCTGTGGATTATGTAAAGAAGAAGGCTCACAGAAATAAGAAGGTTCCAAAAGAAAAAATATTTGAGACGGTTGAAATCTGGGGATGTAATTGCTCCAAGACAAGATGTGTGAAGAAATATTGTGAATGTTTTATCAGGGGGAAAAAATGTACTGTTGAGTGTAATTGTGATCATTGTGACAATGGGAAGGATGAAGACCTTTTTAATGAAATCAAAAAGTAGAATGAAAAGCCTAAAACCCAAAAAAGGATAAGAAAAGAAAGACAACCCTTGTAATGAATTCTTTATGCACTTTAATATCACATATGTTAACTTAATAGAATATATACGAAAAAATCTATAATCTAGCGTTGAATGTCTTCAACATTGAATCTATTTCAGCTTTAAGACTTCCTTCTCCTTCAACACTTTCTCGAAGTCTTACTGCATTCTACTTAACACAACACTAAACATTTTAGCTTTCTACGCTATTTCTATTTTGTCCTTCTCCTCCTTAGTACTTTGTTATCTCAAGATGGGTGGCATTGTTTGAGTCAATTTCCTCTCACCTATTGTTAATATTTTATCTCTTACTAAAAAGTTAATAAAATAGAAATACTGTCTATATCCCTTTGTTTAGCTATGATGGCTCTAGTTCTACTGTTTTATGGATTCTAAATCATGATATCTAAATAAGGTGAAACACCAAATATTCTTTTATGCATAAATTTAGCATCATTACCTATCTTTTTTTATTTGCTACTCTCTAAAAATATGAATCTGCAAAATAAATTATTCTAATCAAATAATCTATCAGCAAAATGAAAGATTTTATCCATAGCAATATTACCTGGTGTGTTTATTTCTGTTCTCGGTTTCTCAAAAAATATAATGTAATGATTTTTGTATAAATATTCAGTAGCCATCTTCAATGAAACTAATATCATAGGCATAATTAAATGCATCCACAATTTAGGAGCATAAAATGATTGAAATGATTCAATGATTTCCATCATCTATATATACATTTACTTTTTTGTTAGTGTTTATATTTAAATTGGCAATGTTACACCAAACACTAACCAATACGACAAATGAAGGAACAATCCAATCAATTTTACCATCTCACTTTTCTGGATCAATTAAAATACATTGTCAACCTAATGTTTCTCAAATACTATATATCGCGTTTCTACATCATCACTTACTTTTTCTTTATTTACTTGTTATTACTATTACTATTATTTCTCTTAACTCTTAGCGCTTGCCTTTATTGGGAAGATGCTTTTAGGAAACAATTTATCTATTTATTTTAAGACTTTTTCAATATCTTCTGGTTTGATGTTCGGAGGTCTCTGTACATCCTTCAGTAGCGGTGCTGGAATTTCTATATGAATAAAAGGCAATTAGAATATTTTGCTCTCAAAGACCAAAAACTTATCATGTTCTGAATGCGTTTCATCATTTTATTGAAATTCTAGTCTGTCCTAATTGACCATATTCTAATTCTATTTCTCTTTAAAATGTCTGATTAAATGGGAATAAGTATTTGTATTTGATCTACTCTATTGAGAAATCCAATTTAAATTTAATTTTCTTTTCTTCCTCTCTTTCCAATAATTCCTTCTATTATTCAACTTCATTTTTTTATTACAATGCCAATTATTATTGTGTTAACTATTGATCCTATTCTTGTTCACTCTTTTTTAATTGTTATTTTCTTCAGATCCTATTCCTTCTAAACTTCATCCAATACATCCTTATCTTTTTATCCTTAAGGTATATCGATATTCTTTTTCTTCTATCTAACTACAATGTTAATAGTATCTGCATATAATCCAGATGCTATAATTATTATGTAATAATGTTACTATTCCATCCGCCTGTTATTTCACATCTATTCAATGGATAATTCTTTAAGATCATCTAGTATATTTTTTTGATTAGCTTCAATTCCTAAGCTCTCCAAATATTTGGTTGCATATTCTTATTCAATTATTTTTGTAAAATTGGCATTTTTTCCAATTACTACTTCCTATTTATTAATCATCTATATGACAGTACATGTTATGTGTTTTTTAATTTGATTTAAAATATTCTTTCTTCGATACGTTACTTAACATTTTCTCTTTCTTGTTTATTCATTTAATTAATAAATTAGAACTAAATTTATAGTTATTATGCTGATATAAAAATCAAATCTCATCCCCAAACATCTCATACGTAAAATCCATAACAGTATCAAACTTACTGATGTTGATAGGCATCTCTGCATAACGTAGTTTTATGGGAACATTATCCAAATACTTGAATTCAGGACATGTCTGTTTTATCCTCTTAATTAATTTGCTACGATACTAAATTTTAGTGGAAACCTTGTTGCCATTGTAGTTTAAATAGACCAAGGATGGAGGAAATTCCAAATCCTCAAAGTATTCAAATTGATTATTTTGTAAATTTAAGTATTCTATTGTGCTTGGTAAATTTTCAAACGAAGAAATGTTGTTATATGATAGATCAAGGACTTTAAGATTAGGGAAATCCAAAATTGGAATAGTTTCTAAATTGCATTTTATTGCAGTGATATTAATAATTTCTTCCTTATTCTCTATCTAGCTCAAAATTTTATCAACATTTGACTTAATAATAGTTACTTTCATTAATAATAATATAATTAATTAATATGAAAAAGACCTCATGAATCTTCATTTGAAGCTTCCTAGTTCATTTTTTAGTATATTTGAAAAAATAATTTATCATCTGCATTTTTCTCCTATTTAAATGAATTTTGTTTTTCTATCACTAATTTAGGAGCAGGCATTTCATTATCTGTTTAAAATTATTTTTTAGTCTTTTTATTAATTTTTTATATAAGTTGCTTTTTTTTTTATTTTGGTTCACTTTACTTTTATTATTATTGTTGTTTTTCTAATTACTTGTTTTCTTCAATTTCTATAATATCATTCTCTTCAGAGTTAATTGAATTTTACGATTATTTCTCCTATTCAACAGCTTCTGGTGTTTATTGCGTTGATTATTGATCATTACCCTTACTTCTGAAGATTTTATATCCAATCAGCGCAAACGCAAGACCAACTCCAATAGAAATTTGTACCCTCTAATCTACAGTGGATCTTAGGCCATTTACAGTTTTGATAACTTTCTGTAATTACACATTCTAAGCTAAACTTTTCATTTATAATAACCAGAACTTATATTTAATTTATATATATAATGAAAATGTTATCACAATTTCTATGATTTTTATTAATTATAAATTTATACAACATGTAAATTCATTCAGTACAATTATCAGCAATTAAATGTTAACTATTTCTCTTACTAGACGGAGATATGATAATCTTCTATTATTCAGAATTTAAATCCATTTAGAATGTATAACAATTCTAAGGAGGAGGAGGTTGTTGTGCATGTAATGACTATTAGTTCGAAACACTAACTATATCTTGATCTGCTGATTAATTTACATTCTCTATCTCTTTATTCACTTCCTCCTATTTCTCTTGTATGATTTATTAGTCAACCTCCACAGATATTGATTGATTTACAGCTTAATCAATCTAAGAAACATTGCTATTCTTGGGACAATGATTTTTACTATTGTTAAAGTTGTCATTCTACTCTTCATCTGAACTTTCATTCATTTGAGGTTCTGAATCCTCTGCAATCACTTAATTGTAAATCTACTTATCCCTTATTTCATCTAGATCTTTTGCTTAGGATTAGGAATTCTATTATTAGATTCGATACTTTCTATCCTGATCATTCCCTGGAGTTGTCGGCTTTGAAGTGAATAAACTAGGAATCTAAGTGAATTAAGGTTAAGATGGAGATTATTAAGGATTCTTTTTATCATCCTCTTGTTTGTTTGAAAAATAGTTCTGTTTATTTGTTTTGGAATCTGCAGTTTTTAGAGACAATTATGATTTCAAATCGAATCTTTTTGAAGTTGATAATAACTAACCATATCCAGTTCCACTTTCATTTTAATTCTACTTTTGCTGTGGATGCTGTTGTTGATTTATTTATTATTTTTTGTCCTACTTTGATTTTATGTATTCATATGTTGTAATATGCTTGTATCTAGGAATATCAAATAAATCATAAACTTAAAAAATAAATGCATGGACAATAAGTAAATTAGGATGATGAGGACTGGTGGATCGATTGCAATGCAAATATAAACTAGTATTTATAAATCATCTGCATAGTATATCAGGTTGATATCTAAGGCCAATTTGAATATTTTAAAGGCGACCAAGGAGATAACTAATATAAAAAAGTATGAATAGTTCTATTCGCCAACACAATTATTGAGCCATATACAATGATGATCAAAAAGTGATACACATCTAAATGAAATCTCAAAATTACTTATTACAACTCCAACAATGTTTAGTTTTTTCTTAGACATGTGCCTAACATACTAGACAATAAGATTTGATCTCAGTTTTAAATTCCTTACTTTAGCATAATAATAAATATATTTACCCTTATTGTTTGTATGATATTTCCTATTTCACTATAGGATCTGTCGGATCTATTAGAGTAGCCTTAAGACAACTGTAACAAATGGTTGTAACAATGATTGTTAATAAGATTAGCAAGAGTTCCTTAAGAAAATAAATTAAATATTACATGCATTCCCTGCTCTTCAAACTAAAATGCAAAGATGTAAGCTATTATAATATCAGTAAGAGTATAAATCCAACTAACAGTTTGATATGGATTAAGACCATTAACTAAGCCGTTTCTTCTAACAGGTCTTTCTCTACCTTTTTATATATCAACGTTCATTAATATTATATATATATATTATTGTTGTTATTTTGTATTTATGATTGATAATTCAAGGAGCAGGTAAATCTTTTAAGGGTAATTCTCCTACAGTTTAGGTCTTTTGATATTCAACTTCTTCGTTCCTAAAAAAAATGTTGACAAATGGAAAATTACCTCTTCAATCCAAAGTATTGTTTGGAAATCAATTGAGTATGATTTGTAAGGAATTGTGTTTTTAATTTAGGATTCCAGAAGGCATCTTCTTTGTATAAGTACATCAACTCTTATTTATTCAAGCATGACAATTCATACATTCCTAAATCCTAAAGAATAATATTAAATAAGTATCTACATTTTATCTCATACTCTACACACCGGATTTGGTGTAGTATGGTAATACTTCAAGATGATGAGTTTCAAAGACATCTTCTCTAACAACACCAAATGATCCCATTCTTGTGACAAAGATCAGCTCCTTATCTTTATTGTATTGAACTTTTGTAACGTAGTTTCTTCCAATGTCGTTCATAGACATATGATGGAAATACCATAGATAGGCTGAAGCAGCAGTTGCAGCCAACACATTGATTCTCATGTAATCCATATTATAGATGGATTATAAGTGATAAGGATAGAATGAAGCGTCGATTTAGTGATCAAACATGAGATTTGTTTTGTATACAATGTTATATGGTAATACCCAACAAATCCAAGCAAAACTGAATGTTCCAGTCCACCATACGAATTTTAACCATTCTTGTAATCTTGTGTTTTCATAGATGACTTCTCCTTCTTCGAAATTCAAAGTGGGATCTGGATCAGCTGATGGATGTTAAACAAATGGTTAATCATTGTAACTTGGATGATACATATCACTTTCTAATCTAAACAATCTTTAGAAGGGATTGGCCAAGAATTCAGGGTGTCCCAATCTATCAGCCAAATATGGGAATCTTAAATGATATGGTGTTTCGACATCATATTTAGATCCTTTGTCTGGATGGAATTTGCTGGTTACAGGTCTAGATTCCAATTCTTTTTCATGTCTCTTTTGGCTTTCAGTTTTTTCAGCTGGATAAATAGTTTAAGCAATCCATCTTTTTTCATTTCTGAACACATTTTCATATTCCAATTCTTCATTCTGTAGATTTCCTGCTTATGAATATGGTATTTCAATGGGAAAGTAATCTTTGAGACCACCAGTAACATTTTTGGTGACTCCATGTTTGCCTTTCAAGTATGGTCTATCCAAATTCTTGATAGCTTGATCCACTTGTCTCTACATGGCCACATCTCTTTTGACTCCATCCACCAGCATATTATGAGTGTCAACAGTCAATCTCTATTTGTAATCCTGTCTTTAAGCTGGGATGTAATCAGGATGAGCTGGATCATAGTGAGTAATGTGATATGGATACACTTTATATTCCAATTTATCAGCCAATCTCTCTAAATGCTCTTACATCACGTTTTTTCGTTCTATTTCTTATGAAAGGATTACCTTTTCTTCTTTAAATGGCATTCTTAATAACTTGACTAGCACTATATTTGGGAATATAGGATCTACAATATAGGAACATCCTTTTTTAATTTATTTTTATATCTAATAATTGCCCGAGGAATTTAAACAATAATTTATATTTAAATGAACAGCAATCAACATGAATAACTATGTCAATTCGAATAATAAAAACCTAAGTATTAGCATTTGTACTTAGAACTCTATAAGTCTAAACTGTTTGAAATTCATGGGCCAAAACTAAAATAAAGTGATACTCTCAAGTGTTAATAAAACAAAGGGGAATAATTGAATGGTCAAGACGACCCAATCTATTTAAATATCTAGGATAGTTAAGAACAGGAAATTAACTTAGGATTATAAATGAAGAATGAACGATAGATATGCAAAAACAACAAAATAATCTAAAGGTTTTTGAAGAATTGTAGATTTAAAAAAAGAGTATAACTCAGGTGTAGAAGACGTTTGGACTCAGTAGAAATGGTGGGATGTTTAGATATCAATCAAAACTCTCCTTTCATTTAAAAAGGGTTTAAAGACTGCTAAATCTGTCTATCCTACAAACGAATGCGTAAGTTCTTGAGTTGTTCACATGAATTTTGTAAGTCTTGTATAGTTGCTCATTTAAAGGAGAATATAATAAGAGGAAACGTCTTGGTAATTATGTGTCCTCAATTATCTTGCTCTGAATAATTCTCAAATCCCTAAATAAAAGACCTAGTTTCTCATAATTTATATGAAAAATATCAGAGATTTCATAGGAGACAATTGATAAGCAAAGATAAGAATGTCAGATGGTGTCCTCGAATTGTATAATATTTAATATATTTATAAGGATTGTGAAAACTACGTAATTGGAAATGGTAACAATTTACTGACCTGTTCTTGTGGTCAACAGATCTGCTTCAAATGCGGTAGCCAATATCATTAAGGCATGTCTTGTGAATAAGCTATGGACTTCTAGTATCTTGAAGCGAGGAAACAACTGGAAGTAAATGATTGCCCCAATTGTTCAGTCCCTATTGAGAAGAAGGGTGGTTGTAATCATATGACCTGTTTCAAATGTGAATATGAATTTTGTTGGGTCTGCAGAGGCAAATATTCATCCACTCATTACGGTATCTTTAATATATTTGGATGTGCAAGTATTTTCCATTGATTATATCTTTAGTTCCAGGAGGGTAAGTTTCTAATATTGCACCTTTACGAAACCCAATGTTAATCAGGGTTATGATGATCATCCCCAAACTCCTCCTGACCATTTTTTTGAGTGGTGGACTGCTCATCTTACTCCCCTTTTTTCTTATCTACCTAATTTTATCTGCACCCTACCGCCTATTAAAAAGAATGTCTTATTTCAACATGAAGAATCATTCAAAATGCATTTAATTTTGGTCGTTTTAACTTTTCCTCTTCTTTGGAATTCTATTATCCCCCATCACTATTATTTGTGCCATTTTAATTAGTCCTGTACTATTGATAAATTATGTCATTGAAAATTTCTGATTATATTCACTTTTTATTTTAATATTATATAATAATAATATACTTTTTCAATAAACCAAATCTTTCAAATCATTTTCTTTGTTCCTTTAATCAAATGAGGACACGTCCACTTCTACTGGCTATCCCATAGTCGTCTTTATTCTTGCTTCTCCTATCAACTGTCCTTTCAAAGATGTTGGTCTTTTCTAGTTCAAAGCTAGTGAAAAAGCCTTGATATTCATCAATATCACTTTATCTTCAAATGATTTCTTTCCAACTGGCACCATTAAATTCGAACCTGAATCAACTCTGAATTCAATCGACCCTGCCTTCGCTCCCTTGATTGCTGACGATAGTTCCTATGGTAATACCAAAGTGCCAGCCTTTGGATTTGGCATCAATCCCTTGGTACCCAACAATCTTGCATAGGGTTTCAAATGAATCAACATGTCTTATGTTGTAATTAATTTTTCAAATTTATATGTTCCATCCTTAATAGATTTCAATATGTCTTCTTGACCAACGAAATCTGCTCCTGCCTTTTGATTAATTAAATAATTACCCTCAATGCAACATCATTTAATTCATTAGTCGTTAAGACAGCTATAGATACATTCTTTCCCAATCCTCCTGGTAACATGCATGTCCCTCTTACATTTTAATCACCATGTTTTGGATCAACATTCAACCTTAATTAAAAATCTATTGTCTCATCAAATTTTGCCTTTGCTCTCTCCCTTATTAATTTCACCGCCTCTCCTATCCTTATTTTTGGGGTGTCTGTTACTTTCACTTTTGCAAAATAAGCCAAAACTCTTCCCCTTAATAACATTCTTATTATTAATATATGAATATTAATTAACAATTATATTATACAGACACACATAAAGATAATTGCTATCCCTATTCATACGCATTGATCTTAGTCCATGGAAACATCACCTCTTCCCAACATTGGGGCAAATTTATTCAAGAAATGTAAAAGCGAGATCAAGATAAATAAATAAGAATTATTAATTTGGACTAAAAAGGATTTGGATATTCCTAATTACAAAATAATAGCGTTGACGACATCAAGGATCTGACTACAGAAATTCATAATCTAATATTATCGTTATTTAAAAAAGAAGAAATATCTTAAAAAGTCATTTTATGTGGATGGTCTCTAGGTGGGGCAGTATGTTTATAATTGGCAAGTGATAAAAGTGAATACTACCATAAATTAATACTTGTAGCAAGTGCAGGTTGTCATGGCAATCACTTATATATGGAGGATTAAGAGGGTAAATCATTATCAATTAAATGCTAAACTAAACAATAAGTAATGGATCATTCAAAAATCAAACATAATGTTATGAAAATGAAATAAAATGATTACAATTACTTCTATCACGTATTTAAGAAAGCATTGTTCAACAGTGGGAGATATCCAAGTGATCTTGAATTATTAGAATTACTTAAGGACGTATTCAAACAATCTAATTATATCGATGTAGCATGGGCTTTATAAAAATTTGATATTACTAATTAAGTTAATAAAATCAAAGGTCCTGTCTTTTTATATCACGGTGTACTAGACCGTATATGTCCTATTTCAGATGCTTACGTAATAAATGTTATTAGGCTTAGACTAACATTCATTTTATAGGTAAAAACAAATGCACACTAGTTGTTCATCAAGATGTAAGCCATATGCCTCCTTTGGAAGTACCTGAAGATTTAGCTGTACATATCATAAATTATTTGTATTCATTAAAATGATAGTAGAGTTCATATACATTATTTTAATAATTCAACACTTTATCATTCTCCGAATATAAATAGAGAACATATTGTTAGGATACAGGAACTTTTCTACTTTGATATTCCATAATGATTTAGAATGGAATTATAAGAGTGGTTGTATTTCTATAGAATTGTATCTTCAAAAGGAATGACGTTTTACTTCAGTATGTAATCTGCTCTCTGTGAGTCTCTATCTAATATGGAATCGATTTATATGAACAATAAACCCATTTAATAATTTTTATATGATAATGCTATTCAATCAACAAGGTTCATTTTTTATGTGACACTTAAGTGAGTTGAGTTTACTCAATATGATATTTTTGAATCAAGGATACGAGCCATTCATCTAATTTTAAAATAGAGTCATGCTTATCTTTGGGATCAATATCTAACCATAATTCAATTCTTATTCTATTTCCTTGTTTAGCATTTATTTTATCGACAACTCTTAAACCATTTATCTAAATAACATAATTTAAATACATGTCTTAAATCCTCATTTGATTACCCTATCACCTCGTATAAAATATCTTAGTATAAATTATCATATATATTATAAAATTATGTTGGTATATCAAATTAGATCTCACCACCATTTTTATTACTTTCATCTTCCCACCAAGGTTTTATATCATTCTTGAAAAATTATATCGCTTCAATTTAAACATCTGTAACCTCATCATTAAATTATTTAAAGCTGTATTAATAACATCTCCTTACATTTTGCATTTTTATGGCTCACTTAAGACATCTGATAATTTTGAATAGATAGTCTTTTTCATTAAATAAGCAAATTCTTCTATTGTATTGAATGAACAAACATCTACTATTGTCTTCTTATAATCAACATTCAAACTAGCATTATATTTCTCTGACACTGTCCATTTTGAACATAATTGATAAAATTAATCACCCATTAATAAAATTAATAAATATATCCACAATTATACCGATGGCTGAAAAATAACACAAAGTCTTTTATAGGAATCATATCTTGATTGTACCCACTAGAAACCTAGAATTGCAACACAGACATTTTATGTTGGACATCATGAACATTCTTCCACATTCCAAAAAAGTACCCATCCTTAATATCCAAGACAAATAAAATCAAATATGAATAATTAAGATCAGTTATTCCTTCCCTTTGTGAAAATCATAGATGCAACACCTTTATCGTCTTCCATACAATAGCAAATCAACTTATATTGGTTTTTGGATCCTATCCATCTGGACCTACAGTTCAATTCTCTCTACTTAATGGTATCCTTAATTATTTATCAACTAGTTTCTACAATCAGAGATTTATAATTAGCAGGCAATTTCTCAAAAAAAGGAAGAGTTCTGCTTTAATTTGATCAACGATTCAACACTATTGTTAAATATAAATTACTTAAAGAAATATTAACTCTTCTCTTCAATGTATCATAAGCTAGATTTACTGAAAATTTTATTGACAGAATATTTTCCTTTACTACTGAAGGTGAGGCATAAAATAGAATTTGGTTTAGATAATTTGAAATATATCAATAAAAAGAGTTGAGAGAAATTGGCCCTAGATTTGCATTAGAATTGATCTCCATTGATGAAGGTCTTTCCTCAGGAAACATATTGTATTAAGGCACCCAAGTTGATGCTTCATAAATTAAATTCAAATAAAAAATAAGAAAGAGCGAAAAAAAATTTGAAAAAATTTTAAATGAAATCAATTTAAAAGAGGAAGAAATTGACGTTGAGGAAAATGATTGAAATTTTTGTTTATGTTAATAATCAATTGTATGAATGAGATATTTATACTCAAAGAGAATTAGTTCCTTTATTAATTTAATTACAGTTTGTTTTGTATAAAATACATTAGAATGATATCAATAAATGAAATATGATTCATAATTCAAATAAGATGTTAACTTTTATACATTTATTAAAAATAACACTTAAAATAGAGATTGATTAAAATCTTATATCATTAATTAATGATTGCTTTATTTTCTCTATTCATAACTTTATATGGATAGGCATTACATTCATCTTACAATGTATATCTTACTGAAGGAGAAACCTATTCTCTTCCTATGAAAGAATTATTTAAGAAATATGTACAAAATTTCACCATTCAGGATTGCCCTGATAATGTTCAATTGTATTAGACCTTAAACCTATTATCAGCATAGAATAATAGTATTTTTATATTTATTATTCAGATTTAACATATATTTCTATCTCATCCACTCCCCCACACTTTCTATTAATTACTTCAGAAAATACTTTAACTACTTATCGTTGGAACTCTACATATATAAATCTTATAAATTAAGTTGTATTACCAGAATAAACTTGTTTTAATACACTATAATTTTAAGAGAATTTCATCTTTATTGACTGCTACAATTTGACAAATTTAAATATTTACGTCTAGAATGGGAATTCTTGGACTATTGTTTACTCCAATTAAATTCAATCAATCCCATAAAAAACAGACCTTAAGTCATTTACTAGTAATTCCATTAATTCTATTCTTTATGCATAATATTATGATTAATATTCAATTTTAACAGAATTTTAGTTTGATCATACTTTATTACATAATTAATCAAATTGGAATACTGCTTTTGATAACTTTATAGTTTCTAATAAACCACAATCTCAGAATACAATTTACTTATGGTATTAACATTTATTCTATCTTTTAATTGTCACTCCATAAGGGTTTAACCAAACAAATTCATACTATTAGGACTTCTAAATTATGGAAGTTTAAATATTCTATCCATAAATGATGATTTATTAATGTGATAGTTTATTAATAATTGGTATTGGGGAGATCTTTTAATATACCGTTTGTAATTAGTAACTCACTTCAAACATATTATCATTAAATTTAATTTAGTGTAATTTACCTTGCTAAGTTTTCCTTAGTAATTAGTTCTTAATTTTATAATTTTAAGAGAGAATTGAGATTTACGAAATTATTAATTTCAATTACTTATTTATTGGTGGCCTTAAATTAAATTCTTCATTTAGTTAAGTATCCTTTGATTATGATAGCAATTAGTTATTTATATTTAGTGACACTCAGATTTTAACTTACTTGATTACTTATCCTCAATTAAAATTCAATTCTGAGCAGAATTAATAAAATTATCAATTTAGTATAATTGGACATCCATATGAGATCAATCAACCTAATTTTTGGGACTATTTGGATTTTCAAGTATAGTTAAATGTCTATGTTCTCAATACTGATGATAATGAAACATATTTAATTTATGATAAGCCAGAGAAGTAACATACGTATGTTTTTGATAATCAAGGTTACGAATACTTAATGCCAGAATTTTCTGGTTCCCTAATAAGAGCAAATTTTAATGTTATGAATTCTAGTTTGGGAAACTTTAATGATAATACATTTAAGCTAATAGGTTCAATTAATTAAACATTCCTTAATTTTCAAATTCTGAATAAGGATGTCGCTGTTGGAATAACAAACCAAACTATATGTTTACTAAATAGATGTATTAAAAATAATAATTATAACTGTTTTCTTATTGATTGTATAGTTCCAAACAATTCTTTAATAACTATTAAGAATAATCAAATTTAAGGGTATGGTTTTTTATTTGGAGTTTAGATTAACTCATAATAATTATATCTAAGTTAGAATGGCTACCAATAATTTATTTTAAATTTTTAACCCTTTTAATAATTTTATTTGGTGTATTAATCTATTGTACTTCTACTTGAATCGAACACAATTTAGATATGTGATTTAACTGGAGATTGCACAAATCTAACAATTAATAATGATAGTGTTATTAATTTTTTTCCAGTTGGAATATTTTTAAATTAATAATCATTCTCATCTATATTATTTATTAATAATAATTACAGCAGCGTTATTATTGGATAGATAATAGATTAGAATAGTTATATTATTAAAAGTATTGTAAATGTTGAGTCTGAATTTTCGGATATGAAAATTGTAAATAATCGTATGATCCTAAGTTATAGTTGTTAAAGTAGTTAATTAATTTGTTTTTAAGTCTGGAATGTTCAAAATTTGAGCAATCCATTTTTTGAAAAACATTTAAATAGTATTAATAATTCTAATAACATTCAATTTTTTGCTGATAATCTTTTTTATTATGTTCAAACTAATAATTACACTTATGCTTATAATCCAGCTATGCTTGAACATTCATCATAGTTTTATAAATTTATATCTAATGGATCCTATTTTTCATCTTTTTCATCCGAAGGAGTTGTATCCTTAATTTCATTTAATTCTGAAATTTATTCATTATATCCAGTTTTAACATACTCTTATTAGAGTAGGATAAAGAATACAATAACAAATCAAATAAGTTTTTGGTCTAATATTTTTAATGTTTCAATTTAATCTTAAATTGTAACTTAAAATTAACAAATCATATTATTGAATGATTTTTCAAATATTTAATTGGAGAGTAAACAATTTGATGTTTAAAATAGTCATGTAATATTAAAATCAGATAATATTACTTCTAGTGGATAAATTGGATGGTTTGGTACGAATTGCGAAACTGGATTCAAAATTACAAATATTATAACTGAAACAACAATGATTACTTTTAAATGCGATTAAACAACTGTGTCTAATTAATAAATATTATGCTTAAGGGTTTTAACAAACTATACTTTATTTTCTTATTACAACATCTCTTTTTAGCTTTATAATATTTCTTCAGCAGGGAAGCTGATTAATGGATCAAATAAAATTATTAGTCAATCTTAATGTTTAGATATTATCATCTAAATGAATGCTTTTTATATATATTTTATTTGTTATCTACCTTACCTAAATAGTTATTAAAAATAGCTATTTAGGATCACTATTACAAACTAATCATTAAGTAATTTAACTTACTTGACTAGTTTTAATATCAATGGTGAATAGATCATACTTTAAGATGATATCATATACATTTAAAATAACTATCAGATTATTATCTATCAATCAAATTTTAACATTACTTAAAGTATTTTCACAATATGCTAAACCCGTAGTATTTAGCAATCAGTTTATGAGCAATAAAATGAATCTTATTATGCAATTATCTATTTATGTAAAGATGATGCAAATTTATATTATTTATTAGGAAAGAGTAAATTTTAAGAACAAATAACTTTTATTTAACCTAAAAAAATATCACTTTAAGATTACTTTTAATTTGATGCTTATATTTTACAAATTCTAGTACTTTCTTAATATTTCAACTAATTAAAAATGATGTGCTTTATGAATGCATTTACTATAATTATCCAATTAGAATATAGAATCAATTCCAACGAATTTTCACTATCTACTTTAAAATTCTAACAATTATGGAAATACTCTCCTTCATTATTTGATTTACATTAGTACAATTTTATTGGTGCTACAATCTCTTGTAATTTAGTAATTGTAGGTTATTTAAAACATCCCTATGTACCAAGATATGTTATTTACAATGTATCTGATTTTCATCTTTAAGAATTTACATTTGAAATTTTACTTTCATCAGTGTCTTAATTTGTAAATGTCATAGCGAATTTCTAATAATTCTAATTACCACAAATTATCACATTTAATAGTTCTTATGGGTTCTTATTGGAGGATTTCCAAACATATAAAATAAGTAGCTTTGAGATTGAAATCTACCTTTAAAGTAAAAAAGTTGAATGCCAATTAATTGCTTATAATTTTATAAATAACAAAACTGCTATATATAAATTTAATTATAAACCATAGACGGAATTTGGATTTGAATATGCTTTGTTAGCCTTTTTTATTATAGTTATTATTGCTGCAGTAATACTATTTTGGCATAGAACAAAAGATTAGAAAGAATAATTTGGATTAGAAGAATTTGAAGGATTAGATGTTGATACAATCTCATGATTATATAATTCATTAAAAGCAAAAATATCAAATAATCTTATATTTTTTTTGATCAATTTTTTGGATATGAATACTATAAGAGACAATAAATTAAATTTAAAACATATTAATCAATAATAAAGACTTTGATATATTATTAAATTAAAAATTGATATTTTTTCAACCTGGATCCACCTGAATGTTTAAATTGTAAATTGACATTTCTTTTCAAGTCAAAAAGAATTCTACTTAATTTTTAACATTAATATTTGAATATAGAATTGAAAATGGGCTATGAAGAATTCCAAATATTTTTTCAAATTAAAATCAATATTTATTAAGAATATCTCTAATGATACATCTTCTTGTTATTAAAATGCTATGTTTAGCATTTTATGTAAACCGGTTAATCTTAGTGAGACAGAGTGTTATGAAAGCTAAAATATAATAATATGCATTTTTATTTTTTTTAAAATCTATTTGAAAATGGCTTTGATATTCATTCATCTTCTCTTTTGCTTGATTCTAATTTGAAATATCTGATAATTAAATTTTGAAAATGATATAATGGAAAATGCTAGCAATAATTACAATTAAGCTTAGTTAAAAGTTGTTTCAATTTTATCAAATATTAATTAAAAAATCGTTTATCAAGTCATTTATAAATAAAAACATTTATAAAATCATTTTTAAATATTATCATAATCTAATTATTTTTTATTCAACCTTTACTTTATCCACTTTTTCTTTTAATGTTTATCTTGCTATTTTAGCTTTCTTTTTAAGCTCCTCTTTTGGAATTTCGTAAGCAAGATAATCAACTATTCCTGGATCAAGCAATTCTTTTATTTGAAATTCAGTTAAAGGAGGAATTTTATTTCACTCTATTGGAGCCTTACAACCTTATCGCTTTTAAGATTAATTATTTTCTTTTGAAAGCAATTCTGTACTTTATGTTTTCAAACTGACTTCCTAATTATTAATATTAGGCATTTCCTGGAACTTAACTCCTTTTTCTGTAATATCAAATTTATATTTTTATGTTTCTTTGTAACTATTAAAATATTCATCTACATCAGGAAAGTTTCCACAATTAGTAGCTCCTTCACAGCCAGATACCTTCAACCAAATTAAACCACAATTTGGACAAGCTTTAATGTAATGAAAGAAATGTTCTTAATCATTTAGTATTTTTAATTAAGTCAATTTTACAATATTATCTACTTAATCCATGAGTTCTTTTTTTAATGCAAAATCTACTAGATATGCTATTACTGGATCTGAGCATTATTCATATAGTTAAGAAAAGATATCATTATTTTTTCTTTCAAATTCAGAAATTTCTTTTTCAGCTAATCGTTTTACTTCCAAAGCCAAGTAATGCATGACGGTTGATATTTTCTTATCATTTACATCAAACTCTTGAATAAATTTAACCACAACTTTAGAAATTTTGTTAAAATTAGCTACTATCTACCCTTTGGCTACTTCTAAATTCATTTCTAATTCCTCCATATATTCTATCAGATCAAAATGTGTATAAAATTCTGTCTCAGTCAAATCTACCTTTTATTATTCTGTTCTCAATATTATTTTATCAATATCAAAACATATTTATTTTTTTGAATCATGTATTGAGAAATAGACTATGGAATATAAGCCAAATGACTTCATTGCATTAGCAAATTCTAATTTATCTTTTTCTAAAGTATTTTTCTCCGCAATATCCATATGTGTAACAGCTATTGTGACTAGGTTCCTATACCTCATAAATATCAAAACCATATCTTTTATGTATTTTCTCATCAAACCCAATCTTTCCCACTTTACCACCAGAAATATTTAGTTCAACGGGCCTTCGGTCAATGCATTCAATACTCCAACAGCATGCTCTATCTTTTTAATACTTGATCCAAATCCAGGTGTATCAAGAACTCGAAACCCTTATCCATGACATGACTCCTTTAGGAAGACTTATCTAGAGATAAATTAATATATCACCTTGTATCTGATTGGCCTCCTTATTTAACTTTAAAATCTGTGTTACAGATTTTATTAAATAATGTTGTTTTGCCACAACCAATAAAACCAATAAGAACAACTCGCTTATGTTTCTTATCCATAATTTTTTATAAACTAACTCTAATTTATCACCTTCCTTTTAAATTTGAGGAAAAATCTATTACGCTTGTTTGAGAAGTTTTGTTATTCTATTATTAGGTTGTTTAATTGCTATT